GAATCTGTCAGGACAGTCCTGGATCGGCTCATTCCCCCTGTCTCGTCCTTGCAGGAGGGCGAAGCTGATGAATAACTGACTGCAATGAGCCTTGTGATTTTTTTGGTTTGGAAAAAAATCCTGTGATCTGTGAAATTGCAGGAACATATAAAGAGAACGACTTAAAAGGTATGCTTGAATCTGCCAAGATATGGAACTCGTGGCCAGGATATGTTGATAACAGACTATTGGCTAAAAGGAGAAGGTTTGTTACATATTCAGACATGTTTGCTATAATTTAGGTCAAGCAAACTTTATTGACCTTTTCTTGTAGTTCTGTTTATGTTTCCTGAGCCACCTTTTTAAGATTAATATGTTAGTTACCAACAATAGATTTATTGGAACTTTATAGTACCATGCAGATATATAAATGTTCCAGGCACATAAACATGGGAAAACTGAAATGCTTATGAAGTTTCTTAGTATTTGTAAATAAAATGTATATGTTTCAAGGTATGGATAAAAATAGCTCTGTTTATTCTAGCAGACTAAACTGTAGACTCACATAACTAATAAGCTGGTTGGGGCCATCATTTCCTGAGCGTGAGGTCATGCTGTCCTTCATCAATGCACGCCAGGAGGCATGCCATGAAGACACACAAATGCCAGTTGGCTGCCCTGTCACCTCCCACTGTCAGAATAATGCAGCAGTTTAGCCCAAATCCGTAGTGGTACAAACTGAAACATCAATCCTGCAGCGCTGTGTCCATCTGCACTACATGATTTCTCCATGGAGAAAGTGAAAATGACCTCTTAAAAGTGGGTCTTCAGCCAGAAACTGTCCAAGCTGTGAAATCCACAGCAAACCAATTTTTATTTGACATATCCGTATACTTCATATTAAGGAAAACAAAAAAATTTCATTGAACTATGAAAAGGAGAAAAAACATTCACTTAAAGAATAACTGTTAACATTTAACCATTATAATATAAGACATAACAATACACTGAGAGAGTATACGACAGAAATGACTTTAATCATTTAAGCTTTAACGATAATGCATTTGGATAAATTGTCTATCTGATCTGTTATCGCAATGTTATGCATAAGAAAAAGGAACATTTTAACTAATGTAAGTGTTTTCATTGCAGACACAATTTATTGGTTATCATTATCATCAATCTTGCTTATTGACTATATCTTTTTCAATCCTGCTACAATTTTTCCTGGGTAAAAATTTGTAATGCCCTTCACTTTTCCATCATCACATCGTAGCACATCAATAATCTTTGAGAAGTTATTGCTACTCTGCCATGCAGCACAACTCAATGAGCGTTATTAAGGAAATATCTCACAGAGCTCTTGGAGCGTTTATATTTCAAAACCGAATCACATTTAGTGAATTTGGCATCTCACACTGGATTCTGTTTGGTCCGTTTCACTTCTTGTTTTGGGATGTCATTGCCATGATTATTTCTCTTACAACTATCAACCTGTAGATTTTTGTTCATGTTTTGCCAAGGCAAGTAATTCAATCTGACTAATAAAATATTGGTTTTATTAGTTTATTATGCACAAAATATGGCATACTTTATAATATTCTGGAGATAAAATGAACTCCTAAATTAATCTCACTCTCATCAAATAGTGTTTTCTAGTAAATCAGTTTATTTTTCCAGCATGTAGAATTTTTTGGGCTCATATGTCACTGCCGGAAATGTTTGTAACAATTATAAAGAAGTTATGTTGGACGTTATGTTTCAGTCCATCTTCCATTATTGAGAATGATGTACTTATGACAAACCCTTAATCAAACTGAGTCCCTGAGATACAATATGTAAAGGACAACTGTGTTTACATTGGCTTTCACATCAGCTTGATCTAAATTTACAGATCAAGCTGTATTTGCCATGTAAGTTTGCACACTGCCATTTACCATTCTTATTGCTTTCTAGTCTATGTGATGTCCTTGTGTTTCATTGTGATAATTTAATTTGTCTTTCACTGGCTTGCTTTGCTCTGGTGGCTGCATTTACCTTACCAACAATTCACTCTGGCATCAGGGCCACTGTCCTGTCAAGGCGCTTTATCTCCCACCTCCTAATTTCTCTGTTTCACTGTCCGCTGCCTTTATTTGTTCGATCATTACCTTAACCTCCTGTTGACCTCTGGTCATTTCTCCTTCTGTCCTTGTGAAGACAGTTATCAGTAAACATGGTGACAGTAAGATGTCATGCATTAAGCTAATTGGGATTCTTACTTTATCATTGCACTTCCTTCTCACTTCTCCCTCATAACAATGCGTATGGACTGTGGGCACTGTTGTTCAATAACACAACCAACACCATATGCAAATATCAGAACTTTAAAGAAATGTGGTAGAGTTAAGACTCTGCACATCAATATTGTCGTTGGACACCTGGGTTAATTGATGCCAACCTTTTATATAGATTGTAGTGAGTTTTTATTTTCTGAAGAGTGGTGGAAATAACAATGATGATGGAAAGAAAAAAGCAATTTTAAAAAATGGGGGTAAATTGCGACCGATTACATTAAAATATTCAAAATAATGTCATCTTAAAAACAAAACGATTCTGAACCACTCTTGAATTTTAACACTCAATGACATCGGCCAAATATAAGCATAAGTAATGTTTCCCATCACATGGCAAAAAACTGAGTTATCCAACCCCTTCAAGATCAAAATGTACTATTGATTGGAATTAACATAGTTTCTTATAGGGGATATACTCAGTGGGAAGTATGGATTTAAACTATGTGAAAGATTTTTTTTTCTGCAGTAGTTTAGTGAGGATACAATGTAAATGTCCTATCAAAAACTCAACCTGAAAATGTTAGAAAATCAAAAGCAAAATAATGTGCAAATTTGTGATAGCATGAGATTCAACTTGGAAACATTTACTCAGATATTATTTTACTCTAGTTCTTTTGGAGTTTTTATTGGTTTGTTGAGATAAAATGTACAGTAAATGATAAGAATGCAAAAATGACAATGATTTAAATTTATCAACCCTTTTAAGTTAAGGCTTCAGCCTTCATCAACTAAATTATAATTGCTAAAGAAGGTTGCAGCCGTGTCCGCATAATCAACCATTGTTAATTTCACCAGGAATGACAGGTACATTAGCACTGTGGCTTACCACAGTGATTATTGTCATCCAGGTTAACTTTAGCTCTCTTTCTGTTATTAGAGTTTTTTTTATATTTTATTCTTCCAAAAACCGTTTTACTACTCAGCCTCTGAACTGCCTGAAGGGTAGAGAGATAACAGGCGGACATGATTGAGGATCAAGAAAATTGAAGCATTGTATACTTAAAGTTAATTGAATCTTGTCAGAGACAAAAGGACAGTCTGTCAAGGATGCAGGGAAATTTAGGTCTGCTGCTCCAAAAACAAAAATGTTGTCTGTGTTTTATGTGTTGTTTTATGCTCCTAATTTGAGGACGTGAAAGTGAGGAAAGAGTGGGGCCCTGCAATATTATGTTTTCTGGAGCAGACATAAACTTCTGCCACAATATTGTACATCTACTTTGCATTTCTATCTAGAAAGATATTCTTCAAAATGTTTTTCTTTTTAAACGTAAGACTAAAGCTGGAATATAAATATATGTTCACCAAAGCTTATGATAATAAATTTTGCTCTGTATTTTGTCTCATCTTAGCCACACTTCACTGCAGCATCACGGTCACACTGTCCTATAAAGTCACTCCATCCTATTCATTTCTTGGCAATCATAGTTTGATCACCATCCAAGGTAGACTTTATCACTTTTTTAGGCTTGTTGAAAAATTTTAAGCACAAGCATGGCAATCCAAATGCAACATATTTAAAAATGCATCAATGGTGCTGAATTGATGCAGGTATTAATGCTTTCATCCTGTACACATACTGTATAAAACGGGGCACATCAGAAACAGTACAGGTATTTCAAAGACATACAAGACACACAACTTAATGTCCTACAAAAATGTGTAGTAAAATGTTTTTCAACAACATACATGGCAAAATGAGAAATAGTGTTATCGCACCCTCATATCTTCTCTGGATTCTAGTGACTATTTTTGACCTAAAGTTCATTTAGCTATTTTAGAAAGCAAGTTATTATTGCATTTGTTTTGTTTTTTACTATAAATGGGTCACAGTTGTGTCTATAACTGCTGTAAGAGTGGACATGTAACGTAACAACAGAAGAAAGCAAAAGATTAATGTTCATTTTTTCCTATTGTCCAGGACCAATTAAAGGATATTTTTAAAGATACCCCAGTGGATTATTAATACAAAAACTAAATAAAGTTTAGTATGCATTTAAAAACACTGCAAACCTTATATTAAGGTGGTTCTTGGGATTTCTGATCAGTGCATTATGGCTTGCGATACTTTTTAAAGTTGGCACTGCCTCTTATTTTCCTCCCACAATGATTTGACTTTTTTTTTTAACTTTGACTTTTCATTTGTCATTCAGACATTTACTTACAGTGAAAACAGAACAAAATTACAGTCAAGTATAGTCGTGTTTTATTGGTACTGTTTTCTATGTCCTTGTTTCCAAGGTATTCCAGGAGAAAACCTGTTTATAAAAGTATGTCTGCACAACCTGGGTTTGGAACCCTATACCTGATTAAACCACAATGGTCTGGAGATATATCCCTAGAACACATCAAACCAATGCTAAGTTTGATGAACACCAGATGCAGTATACACACACACTCATCAAACCAGCTGTCGAGTTTGGTAGAGGAGGAGTAATAACTTATTTTGCAGCAACAAGACCTTGAGTGGACAATGAATTCTTCTGTATACCAATAAGTATGTGGACGCTCTAAACCTTGATCAAAACTAAGTCACAAAAGTACAATATCACATAAAGAAGAACAGCAAAAAGTAATTCACAATGATGTGAAATAGTGGAATATTGTAAGAATTCTGAGTGCTGAGAGATTAACTTCCCCTTATCTCTCTCCCTTCTCCTTCTCATGTTAATCTTCCCCTACAACTAGGCTGACTCATGACATCAGTCTGGACGAGTTTGAGGATGATGACCTCTCGGAGATTACAGAAATCACAGACGAGCGTGGAATGAGCCTCAACTGCAACGGCCCTGATATTAAAGTAAGATTCCATGAGTCATAAAATGTCATGAAATTTGCAATGACTTTGCTTTAGTTTATATGTTACAATACTTTATAATTTAATGCAGAGATTTGCTAAACTAACTTCTGTAAAATGAAACATGATATCCTTCAGCTATTGATCTAACTTATTTATTTATTGATTTCATTTCTGCTATATCTTACAAATTGGATAGCTTAATTGCTTCTTAAAACACTTTTATAGCTCCAGTTAATAACTAAATTCAAGAAAAGATTTATATATTTACTTAAGTGTGTTGATTTTAGTTTTGTTTGCTTTTTTTATGTCACAAATATTAAGCGAGGCAGTATTAATTAGAAATACATTTAAAATAAATGTATTTCTCTAGAAATACATTTAAAATGAATGTATTTCTCTAGAAATACATTTAAAATAAATGTATTTGTAATGTCACCCTGAACCTACCACAGTTCTGTAAATGCTAAAAATATTGGTTTCACTGGGAAGACTTGAAAGCAGAGGCATATTTAACTAAATAAAAAAAATTGTCACAAAAGAGTTTTATAAATCACAAAAAGCATAACAGTTCAATCTATGTTTGGCTTGTCTGTATTGTTCTCTTTTTATGCTTTTCTCAGTATATAGTAGCCCCATAAAAATAAGAAATATTGAACCACAATTTTTCTTGCAAATATGTGCAATATTGCAATTGCAAAAGACTACATGGATGCAATATTACGTAGGATATAATATTTCAAGTGTTGCCTTAAAGCTCTGCTTACCAAAAATATATGTGGCTGTTAGGATGGACTTTTACTGCTGTTTATGCTGATAGAGCCCCCTGACAAAGATATTAAAGGTCTGAGAGAAGGGTGAGGATGCTGTTATGATGGAAAAGAAGGTGAACAGGTAGGAAAATGTGAGACATTTAATATTGTCAAAATTTTATTGTATTGTAGATAATGCTTCGACATAATCATGTCTAACTTAACAAATAAAGGTATCATAAATTAATGTCAAAATGTGGTGGTAACGTTAATTTTATAATTAATTTTAAATTCATAGTAAAGTGGGCATTTTGTTCAACAACATATAGCTGCAGACTCCTAATAATACTTCAGCTAACCTGATAAATATAATCTAGCCTTTACAGCCACATTTTGTTGTATTGATCTCAAATTTACTTGAGTGAATCATGATTAAAAACTGGAGTAAGTGTAAAATTCAGATCTAAAGGAGAGATGTGCTGAACCATAAAAAGTAACATGGAGGAAGAAAATAGCCAGAAGTAGATTTATTATTCTGTCAGATCTGCTTTTTTTTCCTGTGAACCACCATCACCACCACCTCCATTCAGCTCTGCTGCAGTATCCTTGGCAACAGAGTGGTTGAGGGGCTTTTCAGTAACATTTTCTAGTGATCCATCTTTGATCATTTAGCAGTGCGTAGGCCAAAATGATAGGATATCCTCCATAGAGCTGTGAATATATTTGAGGTTTAGAAGGGTGTTCATTTTCTCAGGTTTCACCCATCTTACCCTGGGAGCTAATTATAGATCAGATTACCAAATGTGAGCTCTCTCACCGGAGGACTATTTGTATGTGAACATTGATGACTCATCCTCTCTCAGGGGCCTTGTGAAGGTAAAATTGCACAATGGGTTTCTGAGTGGCGAACACTAATCAGGTGTCATAGCAGTCGCAACAACAAAGCTTCCGTGTCCCTGAGTGACTGCACTTCCAGGGCACAAGGCTGTTTCTGTCTGGCTTTTGCCAGACATTTCAATATAGGGTTGTTGTTTAGCATTTGAAAAGAGTCAGCTGTGTTTGGACTCTGGTTTATGCATCAGTTCTACTAGAGTTTGAATCACGACGGGGATCAAAAGGAAGCCCTCTCTTTGTCAATCACAAGGCCTATGCATCGTGTGTGCGTCTGTATATATATATACAGACACACACACACACACACACACACACACACACACACACACACACATATATATATATATATATATATATATATATATATATATATATACATATATATATATATATATGTCATATCACATCAGTTCTTAAGTCTCTGCACTGCTTCCATGTTTGTCAAAAAAAACGTACCGGTACTACCTGATTAAAGTGTTCTGAACTGACCAATTTTAAACCCAAGTATTATTCCTTTAAATATAATCAACACAGTTTGGATTGGGCCAACCTAATACAGTCATTCCTGTTTTTACTTTTCTTTGTTGGATATGAATCTCACAAAGTGACAGCACAAGTTAATTATTGATAAGAATTTATTAATTTTTTTTTTCATTTGATCAGGAAAAGCAGATGATTAAAAAACATAAATATGATTTTTTTTTCTTCTTTTTTTTAAACATTCGACTGCATCAGCTTGTGTGGCTCTTCTTGAAAAATTTAAGTAGTGGTGACCACATCAGTAAGGTCAACATCAGAAGGGAGATTCAGAATGCATTTTGGCTCATCAATCATTAACAGGAAAATGGAAGGAGGATGACTTCAGACAACATTTCCTGTGTCAGCAGGGTAAGGTGAATTAGATGTTCTGTAAATATATGTGGTTCTTAAAAAAGGTCAGGAGTGCTCACACGGAGGCATGTGTAAAATGCATACAATATGTCCCGTTACTTTGAATGGGTCAAAACTTAGTATTTGGACAAATCGAAAGTATTTTAACTTGCAACATATTCTTATACTGAGTAGGTTGTTTTTTATCTCAAACTAGTAATATTTGCGTTTATAAACAGCTGTTTTTATGACATGATTCCTACAGTGAGATGTTTTTTTTTTTTTTTTTTTGGAGAAAGGCCTTGTCAGGTCAGGACCTACAACTTCTGTATCTGGTGTTCTCGAAACTAAAAAGAGAATAACTTCAACTTGATGCAAAATAATGTTCAAATTGCTCCCATTTGTTGGACTCAATTATTGTATTTTATTTGTATGGATTAAGGACAAACTACTTTGTGAATATAGTTGAGAAAAAGAAAAGCAAGTAGTAGTCGGAACCGCTTGCAAAAAATGCAGGGAATTAAGATTGTGAGTTCTTGTGTTAGTTGAAGGGAAATTTGCTTTTTTTTTTCATATTGCAATATGATTTCATTTCTGACATTTAATCTGGTATTACTGCTGCAAAGATCACTTGACTGATATATAAAATATATTAAAAAGTTTGCAGTTGAAGATTCAGCGCTGTTTAATGTTGACATTATTTAGTTTAGCTGGAACTATTAGCTTAGTTAATTCCTTTGTCAGATATGTTTCTCTGCTTAATTGTGCCCAGCTGTTTGCTCATAGAATTAGTCTGTGCTTCTTGCTATTTAAACCAGTTCACCTTCAAAAATTTGTTTTGAGTTTCAAGAGAAGACAATTCTCATACAAATAATTATTTTTAGAAGAATTTACAGTGATCGTCTCTGTAACAGTGAAAGGTGTCTCGATGCATGACTTATCCTGGCAAAGAAAAGACAGTCTATGTCAAAAGACATATTGAATTTCCAGTGCACATGGCTTTAGTGTTTAAGGGTTAATGTGGACCAGATCAAGCTCAGACAAAGCATAAAGAGATTTAATGCTCCTTAGAGACATGGGATGACAACATGTATCATCATTACATCCACTCAAGGCAGGACTGGGAAAGAAGAGTGCTTCCTTCCTCATGTGTAAGGATTAATTGATCTGATGTGCAGCCATTCGTCGTGTGTGAAAGGTTGGCAAGAATGACATTTTTGGGTGGGGTCACTTGAATGAACAAATACATTAAAATGTCTGTAGAAGCACATAAAAATACCCAGGGGTAGACGCATCAGTTGTTTGCAGACACTATTTGCACACCTAAGTTTATGTGCATTTCTAATTTTGAAAATAGATGCAATGGCACATCTATGAAAGTTCCTTTTCTTGACAAGCAAGTTCTTGCAGCAGTTTATTTACAATTAAATAAAAAAATATGTATGCATGTATGTATTATTTCAGTTTTTAGAAAAAGCAAATAGCTCAGGTTTTGCAAAAATCAAAACTGCTTGTGCCTTATTGGTGGTGCCAAGAATATAATGTTGTAATGGTTGATGGTCAGTTTGGTGCACAAGAAGATAAAAGGGCTAAAAAGGATCTGATGTCATGCTGACATGAACAAAAACCAAATCAAGGATGTCACAAATGGTAAAAAGTATTCTCTGTGGAAAGATTTGGCTAACAATCGTGCACATAATGATGGATGGGATTAAAATGACTCCTGCATATATTTAGTAGAATCTGCATCATGAATCAAGTGCGATGCTCATAGGTGGAGCAAGAGTTGTGAAAGATGGAGAAAATTGCAATGCTTCTTAAATGTACAGAAAAAAAGCTTTGATCAATGCTTTTTCCAGACAAATCTTCATCTCAAAATGTGACCACAAATGAAGCATTTTTTATTGGTTTGTCTCATGTCACAGTTGTTTTAAAATCGTTGTTTTTGAGACCAGAATCATATACGCACTGCTATGACGGTGCCTATGAGCACATAAGCAGACTTGTTTCCATAGCAACAGCATTTTTCTTACCCACTCCACGTGACGAAACTGAAAATACATGCAGTGTTGGCGCGTGTGTGCGTACACACACACACACAAAACACCCCCATGGATACTGCTCTCGTCATCTCCTCTACACATGGTAACTGGAGAGGAAGCTGCCTCGTCGAGTCAAGTGGACAAAATTTCTCTCTTGGCTCTTGTTTACACCATTTTCACAGCCGTTTAGGGAAATGATCATGCAGATTGACTCGTTATTTTGTTGTTTTATTTATCTCTTAATGTATAATGGCTTACTGCTGACCATCATCCTAGATGTTTTCTTAATTTGTGGGACAGATTTGTTTGGCTTATTTATAAACACACAGCGTTAAATATGTTAAGCAAACAATTGCTCAGATTTTTATTAGGAATATTTAGAGGCAACAATTGGACTTTAAGTGTTGCTGCTTTTGAGTGTTTCCACATTGGTACAGAAATTGTCTTTACTAATATTATCAGCGACGACCAGCTGATAATATTAGCAATGAAATGAGCTGAAATAAACAGAACATTTTTATGGCCAGAGAAACTGTTAGTCTGCTCACTTCATGACCTCAGGTAACATGTAATGTGTTTTAAACTTGTATCAAAAACAAATTTTAAAATGCTGCCTTTTTGTGTTTTGTAGTAAATTTTATCTTAAAAAGAGACAAAACCTAAACTTTAAAAAATATTTATTCTTAATTAACCTTGACAAATAGATGTTTTCATACATTATTCTCAAGTCTAACTATTCCTTCAGGGTCTTTTTTCTTTTAGTTTTTTATTGCTTTACATAATATGAGTTGTCTATTGTTTTTTTCCTGCTCACTCTACTTTGATTAATAAATTCAATCATAACCCTGGCAGCAATGTTGCCTTCATCACCAGGGTGGCTTGTCTCTTAGCAACAGGGGGATAGGAGTCAATTAAAGTGGCCAGCCACAATTTGTTGACATTAAAGCAAAAAGAAAAACAAAAACAACAAAAAGAAAAAGCAAGAATAAATGTCCTACTGCGATAACAACTATTGAATTTTTAGTAGATGAAAAAGAATGGGGAGTGAAAAAAGCTCGTTAAATGTAGCTTACATCAGAGTCTCACAGCCATCACAGTCTGATGGCTGAACTGAAAATAGAAGAGGATGAAAGGATGAGTGAATCTTGAGTATTATGCATGTACAGATGGATGGCAAGAAACCATAAGCAAATGATTGAACTGTGGTTTGTATACAGGTAAATGGACACGATGTTGGATTGATCATTGCTAGATGGTGCTGATTTAATGTATGTATAATGTGTGTGTATAATATGATGTCGGACAGATGGACTGGCAGATTGACAGATCTACATATTATCAAATTGATCTTTGAAAGATAAGATAAATGAGCAGATGTGTGGGTAGATGAGCAATGTAGATTGAAAAATAGATGTCTGGATTTAGAGGTCAATGTAGAGATGAATGGATAATATTGTAAAATTTAAGTTAGATAAATGAAAAAAGCAGAAAGTTATCTTTTTACCACATAATATGGGGAATTAATAAACTTTTACTGATTTTAACCTACCATTTCCACTTTCTCTTCTCATTCAAAAAGGCCTTTTTTCTTCCTTGGTGAAAGACAAAAAGTGAAAGACCTTTGTAAATCTGGGATGAGCACCTCACTGCATGCAAATGTGCTAGAAGGAAGCATTTAGCCAATGGAAGTGGATTAACCTCCATTCACCAGCTGGGTTTTAGTCACAGCCTGCAGTTGTAAAGATGCATGTTAACAACCAATCTGCTTCAAATGGAAAATATTAATTATTTCACTTGTAATATTTACACTGAACCATAACGATTATAATTTTTGACTTATATTGTGACAGTGACTTATTTTACTATGCTTGTGTGAATACCAACAGAATCAACAAACTGTTAAATATGAGTTGGCAAAAAAAATGCTTTTTTTTTTGTTTTTTTTGTTGTTGTTGTTGACTTGAAAACTTAGCCGTTGATGACATTTTGGTGAAATAATCCAAATTTATCTTGACTTATTTTACTTGGGCACTTGAAAATTGCCTCTTCTCTTCCCACTGAATCTGAAGGTAATGCATTCAGATATTTTGCAGTTTTCATGTCGTCTTTTTCTTTATCATAGTGTTTTGAAAATAAGATAACTTTGCATGTGAAGGAAAGAGAGAGTTCAAGACTATAATAGGCTTTACAGTGACTCTGAAGTCCACGTCAAAGCCAATAGAAACAGTTGGTGTTGTTGTTCCTGTGTGTTGTGTTCAGCTACTGGGGAATTGATGATAAGTAAATCAGACTTAACTGGCACATTGCTTTTATCTTCTGTCTGTTCGCAAAGCATATATCAGTTGGATGTTGTGATTTGGCAAGCTTAAAGTTATATATATATAGATAGATAGATAGATAGATAGATAGATAGATAGATAGATAACACTACTATTTTTGCGGTCACTTCAAGCATTCACAACGAAGAGGTGAGGGACTCATAATTGTCGCAAAGCAGTCATCTTCATAATTCATTATGGGATCAAGTATGTTCCATTTGAGCTGTATTTTATTGAGTTTTGCAGAAATTGAAAACATGTTCTGTAAATGTCACTGAATTTAAAGAAATCCAGCCTGGCTTAGCTGAAGATCAAATTATGGCAAAATCTGGTGTTTAGAAAGCTGATGCTAAAGCATTATTAATGACAAATTGGTACCTTCATACAACATTGAAGCACAGGGCAGATTTATGTCCTGTGCTTCAATGATAGCATAGGACATAAATAGGTGAGACATAAGCCAGCATATCAATTATCTTTGGATTTTAAATGGGTGCAAAACTAAAATTATATTGAAAAGGAATAAATCCATAAATTGTTTAAAGTTAGCATGGATTTCTTCCACCTTCGTGATGAATTTGAGTCTTTTCCTCTTCTCTTCCCACTGAATGCAACTAAACCAAGCGTAAACACCTTGGTTGTGATGTATTAACACCTCTTAAAACTAAAATAGCCTAGTATGAACATAATTTCAGATTGGAAGTATGACCACTGACTAACAAAAAAAGCAAAGAAAGAACATCTCACAAAAATTAGACATGGGGGACAGAGGTTTCATTCTTTATCATTCTAGGGAAACATTATCATTAAATAAGAGGGTTGTATAAATCAGTTGTGTATGTGCTATTTTTAAGGTGGCTAACTGTTGTCAGTGAAACTGTTGTTGCTGAAAACAGAACGGCCTCTAATTGGTTAGCTCCATCTCTTCATCCCATACACACATGCTCTCTCTCTGTGCCACTCTCTCTGTGCCACTCTCTCTTCCTCTCCTTTGACTGACGCTGTGCTCCCTCCAATCCCTGCAGGGCCGTGTGAGGCGAGGAACCAGTAGCATGTCAGGGAGGGTGGAGCTGGGCGCAGTTGGCCAGTTTCAGGCAGAGATGCTGCATTTGGAACTCATTGACGGTGCTGACGGTTACCGCGGTGATAAAGACACCTCTACGGCATCCGCTGTTGCAACCGCACCAGTCACCAAGGACTCTGGAGCATCTGTTACCATGGATACATACCGACCCAAGAGACCTACGACCCTTAACCTCTTCCCTATTGTGCCTCGTTCACAGGTATGGCCTGGATTATCTTATCTACACACACACACATGCAAGCCTTCTGACAGAGCAAAGAGCAAATGGAAATCACAAGCAAGATTATTTGTGTGTTTGACTGCCTTATGTGTGTTTATTCCATTAAACAACAACAACAAAAAAAACATATTTTCAAAATTGAGAAAAGATGAACAAAACAGTTGACATTTCCACAGAATTCATTACAGTTGTTTTCCTGACAGGATGTCTTTTCTCATCCAAACAATGGCTTCAATTGTCAAGACACATTTTTCCCATTGGTGCACATCTCTGTTTGTGCTTGAATAGAGCTTGTGATGTGAGTGGTTTTGTTTAGTAAGTCAGTCTGCATGAGAACAGAAGAGCTATTTTCTCTACAAGATGCTCAATCAGGGCAAATTTTATACTTTTAGTGGCAGTTGCCAAAGAATATAGGGCAAAATGGAAATCTTTTTAGCATTGCAGTCAAACACATATAAGTGTTTGGGGAAAAAAGGTTGTGTGAGATAGACAGCATAGTGTGACTATGTGTGGAAATTAAAACATTGAGTTCTATCCGTCAATCATTTATCTTATTTGCTGACATTAATTAAGCCTGTAATTAGGCTTGAGAACCATAGATATGTAGACAAGATACACCGTTTCAGCTAAGAAAAGTAACCTATGGACATAGTACAAACAGGGCCACCAAATATGGGCAATAGCAGAATGTAAAAACATTGCATGGTCCAAAGTGTCAGCTAAGATATTTAGATGTCAGTGTCAGAGTGTGTAAACAACACTACAGCATGGACCCATGTTGCCCTTCATCAGCGATGCAGACTGATAGTACAGGTATATTGCTGAGGGGGATATATAATTATTGGCACACTTACTGTCCCTCGTATAAACTGATCACATGATCTCAATCAAGCAATGCACCTTTGACATGATTTGTATTATTTATGTGAAGCTAACCAATCTATGGTGGCATTATATCAATATTGACCAAAATTTATGAGAAATGTTTCTGTTATCCTGTTGAGTTTATGCCATGCATAATTAGAACAGTTCTGAAGGAAAAACCGGGTCAAACCCAGAACTAGTAAGGTGACGTTGATAAAATAGTCAGTCAGAAGATATTTTGACTGAATCTAATTTTATTCTTTGCCTCAGATAGTAGAGGAATTTTCTACCAGTTTATGGTTAAGCAGTTTAAAACTTGATCGTTTTACTTGTTAAATATCATTCACAGAATTAGTTGAACCCTAAGCTATGGGCCAAATGCCATTAAGATTTGGGTCAAATTAACAATTTGATATTTAGGGCTCTACCCATATGGCATTCCATTGGCATTTACTAGTGACTGTGTAAAGTAAGAGTTCTCTATAGAGACTTCTAATCATCATTAACAAGAATTCAAGCAGCTGTTACCATTGTCCCAGTTATGTCACCCAGTTGGTTCTTGCAGATGTTTCCTCATGTTTTTTTGGATGTGTCTTCCTATTAAAGGAAATGTGTCCTTTAAGGTCTCCTCCAGTATAAAGCATGTAACATGCTTCATACTAAGCATGCTCCATTCATGCTCAGTATGTAGGATTGTTACAAAATCAAAGTGATTGTCCTGTGGCTCTACTTGCTTGTGCAGGATCAACAAGTGGTGAAAGTCAATGCATTTTGTTGGGTTTCCTTAGATGAAAAACATTTTAACCTGAATAGTCAATTAAACTTGACCACATTGATTGATAACTAGAGTCAAACTGGAATGTATGTAATTGGTTGTTTTCGAGTCACTCTGCACCATTGTGATTATGACTTATTTTGGCCTAAGACATTTGTTGTGCATGATCTGTTTGAGCGAACTGACCAGATCTTGTGTGCGTATGTTGAAAGTGGGTCAGTATGACTTCCATTGTTCTGGTTTTGCTCTGGTTTGCTTTCTGATGGCTTAGTAAAGGTTTATTTTGCAGCATGTGAGGGACATTGATTCCTAGCCATTCAACATGGATGGAAAGACTATAGAGTACCAAAATAAATAAATCGACAACTGTATGCAACAAATTAGCAACATTTTTGGAATAAAGTCTGAGCCTTTTAAGATGTTTGGAATATCCTTTTAACAATCAGCTAATTGTTTTTATTCCTAATATGGATTTGAACTGTCAATTTTGGAAGGTTGTCTAGCCTTTCGTTTTGTTTTTTCAATGATGAACCAACTGCACTGTCTAGGTCATCTGCATCTAGGTATCTCCAGTTTGTCAACCATTTCAGCTTTCCAATAGTTCAAGTAGTCATTGAATCCATCACTAAGAAGATAAAACAGCCTATACATCACTGATTCATCAAAGTAAACCAATGGCAATGCTTTAGATGCTGAGCCTGTTACGCCCAGCATTAGTTCCTACCACTATGATCTTTTAACAAGCGTTGCTTTGTATCCTGCTCCGAGGGTTAGACCAATTCTCCCTTTGCTACGGCTGATTTACAGTGTCTGTCTAGGAATTGATTTTGCATGCGATGCAGCAGCAGCTGGAGTCTGTGTCCTTCTTGTTGCCACATTGAGCACAGCTGCTCAGATTATTACTGTCTGTCTGGGAATCAATTAAGGTCGGATTTAGCCATTTACAAACATTTGTTTCCTCATTTGAGCCTCTTTAGTGCTAGTTTGGCATAATATCTTTGTTATAATGTACAAAAACATACTTTTTCATACTGCAATAATTCAACCTTTTCTTTATTTAAGTGGGCTTCTCTTGTGGAACCTAATTTTCCCTAACAGCTTTTGAGGCTTAAACAGTAAAATGTTGAGCAGCTTAAGTCAGACAAGAAGTGAAAGCAGGATACACTGCTTATATTCTTCAGGCAACCTTTTCCCTGACATTGCACTGTAACAAAATGGGGGTAAGAGGATACAGAAGACACAGAAGGACCGTTTCCAGGTCAGCAGATTGGTACTATTGAACCATACTGTATTTGTTTAGTTGTGCAGAATTTTGTAGCAACCAAGAGTTTTTTTGAGCTAAACTCAACAGCTCATTAGACTACTGAGACTTAAATATAAATGAAATAAACTGGCCTACAGTAGAGAAAAAACACATTTTTGTTGACAGAGAAGGTATTTTCTGACTGCTCCCTTTTAAATCTGCATGGGTACAGTGAGCCAACAGACAGGGACAGATGGCCATGTCAGAAAGGATTCCTCAGAGTTAATCTGAGTCTAAGGCTAATCACTAGTTAAGACACACTACTAATCTAGTTAAGACACACTACTTATATTGAAGTACAAACAATATAAACTCCAAACTTCTTTTTGGAGTTTATGGTAACAGATCTACCAAAACCAGTTCAATTGTCATGAGGTGACATTGCAGAAACAGTTGAGAAATGATTGATTCTCCTGACCTTACCACATCCTAAGTTTTATGTCCTGCCAAAAACTTGACTTTAATTTTAGGGAGCAGAAACCTCCTCATGTCTTTTTTTTTTTTTTTTCTTTTTCTTTTTTTAATCAGTTGTTGCAAAAGAAGGTGCCAGGACAATAAAATTCATCAGACATAATGTCACAGTCTGAGACATCTTGGGAAACATTCAATAATAAAATCCATTTTAATTACAGCAACACCATCTTAGTCATTAATATTGACTCCTTTGAGTCCACTCTCCCCAGCCGCGATCAGCTTGTCACAGTGGTAAAATCTTCATCTTCCCAGATCTATGGGTGCAGTCTCCCACCTGCTGATTCTCTCGTTACCACAGCAACAGTTGCGTTTCTGCCTGGTGAATGTAGAAGAACGATGATGACTCATGTGTGGTGGGTGGGTAGAAGAGGAGGACAGCATCTAATTTGGGACACACTGCCGTCACAGGAGTTTCCAGTTGTTCTTCTGTCTGGTGTTTTTTCTATATCTGGAAATGAAATAAAACTCTTTTAAACCCAAAGATCGTTTTTGAATGTGTCTGATTTGAAAAGCTGAGCTTAAACAACAATCTGATGTATGATCTTTTTTGGTAGTTTTTAAAGCATTCGTGTTGTCATAATACTTAGCTTTCTTCCACTTAGGATATATTCTGTCAGGGAGAATATTACTGCTCATTTTCAGTCATTCTGATCACCATCTTCTGTCTGCAATTTTTATTTAATTGTTGCGCCAACAGTAGGGCTGAAGCTCATAGAACCATTGGTAATGTGTATTACCACACAATATTTAAAGTATTTTCTATTGATATAAATTATATGTTTTTAAAATTTTTAACACTCTGCATTGTTTGTAATATAGAAATATCCCATATAGTGTACTTGAAGTAAAGCCGCAGAAAGTAATTTTTATAATCAATATGTGTTTATTACATTTTTGTTGAAACTGTTACTATATAATGACAGTGTAACATTCGACAGATAAACTGTGAAAAAAACTAACTCCTCTGCTTCTACCTTCCCACTCCTCGTTGATAGGCTAAAGCTAGATTCCAACACCACAGTCATGAAGGCTCGATCTAGTCAGAATGGGGTTGAGTTTCAGATTTCTAAACAGATTACAGTTTACAACTAAACTTTTTATTAGTTCTAAGATTTTTTTTTCCTGCATTTATTGTTACAAGATGGAAAAACTACAGATAATGCACTTCACCTAGATGCTTTCTTCACCACTAATACCACTATTTAGTCATCACTGATGTAAAATGATGTTGTTATTGAGATGATACAGTAACAATGTTATTATTTGTGAACATAAGATTGTAACTTCTGATTCAAACTGAGTTAAACACAGCTCTGTGTGAATGAACTTTGTGCTCCCAGAATCTCTTACAAAAGGTTGTGTCCCTTTAAATGCATGCCACGAAGCACGAACAAAAGAAATCCCCACTCATTCATTTGAGCCTGTATGCGTGTTGGTGCATGTAATGCTCTCACAAAAGTCGTTGACTATATACCAGCATCTCGAACTTTGGAACATAGTTCCTTTTTGCTGTCTCTCTGAGTTTACCTCAATATCCATCTTTTCCTCTGACCAATCCTTTCCCTTCCTCTTTTTTCAGGACACATTAAACAACAACTCATTCGGAAAGAAATACAGCTGGCAGGAAAAAGTTTCAGGCTCGTCCTCCCCACTTAAAACAGGTGAGCTTTCATTTTACTGGTTCTTTAGACAAGTACACTAAACTTTGTAAATGTATCTTTTGTAAAGCTTGCTTCTGAGTAAGGTTGTTTTAGTTGAAGTTTCCTTCGACTGTGGTGAGGACTTGTGTAATTTTTATTTGGTTTGTCTTGCTGTGTTTGTATCTTTAGTAGCTTGGATTTGTACAATGATGAGTGGAGTTAGCTGAAGGAAAGCAGTTGCAAAGTGTTTTTTTTTGTTTTGTTTTGTTTTGAATGAAGCTTAAAACTCAGTGGAAGTCGTCATATTGTATTATTACAAAAATGTTCAGATGAAAAAAATTCACTGAAGCTAAATGTACTATTTTGAAATGCAAGGAGAGAGAAAAATCTCTCTTTTCCTGTGGATATCGTCTGAGCTACTCATGGTATTAGCTGTGCAGCCTGTTGTCTAGGGCGCCAACTACTGGAACGAGCTGTTACCCAAACTGCAAAAAAATTTAAATAAAATGTCAGTGCACGATAATATTGATGTGAAGCCTTCTTTGATGCACTTTGATCATTCTCAGTATTCAAAGCACTTCCCACTAGCAATAATGAAATATGCAAAATACTGAACCTCCTGCATGTTTAAATACATGTTGGCGAGTGTCTGAGTGATTTTGTGCCTTTAGAACTTTTCCTTAAGTTAGATTTTTGCTTAGTGTTGTTAGTCTGTGGGTTTTATTATTAGAAGATGAATTTTCATTATATTTTATTGATATTATATTTCTGTATTTTCATTATATTTTCCACTTGAAACAGCCCAGAGCTGATGCTTAAACTGCCTTATAAAATTGGACGGTATTTCTTCTGTATTCACAGAGATCATATGACAGATGATCACCAAGGAGAGATCATATAGATACATATAGATCACCTTTATGCTCTCTGTGTGGATGCATTTCTATTTTATTTTAAGAAAAGCCCAGAAGGAGCTGTCTCATCAAAGTTCAATACTGTCTGAAAGACAGGATGATACCATAATGCTTTGATTTACTGGTGATGGATTATGACGTAAAATGTGACATAACACAGCAGGCACCTTATCCTAGCCCTGAATTTGATGAGTAAGGGGGATTTATCTGTGTAATCCTAACATTACCTAACCATTTCCACTTGTCTCTCTTTCTGCTTTGGTTTTTCTTTTGTCTTTGTGCATTCGCTGCCATGTCCATTCGTCTTCGTGGCTCTGCGTTCTGTTCTCTCTCTCGTTTGCATGTCTGCATCATGTGTACTTACTTTATTTGTGTGCCTGGCCTTTTTATGTGCCTGTGTGGATGTGTGTTTGTCTGTGTGGCTGTCTGCATGGCCTTGTTTGCATCCTTTCTTCATTTAGGTGACCTCACACCTCCACGAGAGCACAACTGTCTGAGTGACGAGGACAAGGTGCAGGGTGGGGCAGCACAGACCAAAGACAGAGGAACCTCCACCGATGCCCCCTGCAGACACAGCCACACCTCGGGACACTCGCATTGCTCAAGCTCAGGGGTTGCAACTCGATCCAAGCTGCAGGAGAAACCACCCCAACCACCACCGCCACAGAACTACACTCCTGCTCCTCTGTATCCAACGGGTAAGACGGACAGCTCAGGCCACCGAGAAAAGATTCGCCACCAGGCAGATGTTCATCTGGAACCCACAGAGGAGATTTATCTGACTCCAGTGCAACGATCAGTGGACCTTTTGGAACCCCCCAATGTTCAGGAGCGACCTTTTCTCTCGCAGCAGACTGAGCAAGGGCGCATGTCCATAAGCTCTGATACAGAGGGACCACCTCCTTATCAGCCCCTCCCAGACCAGACCAACCCCTCCATTTTTGAGGAGGACGAGCTTTACGTCCCTCCACCTTCCTATGCTTCCTGTGTAGAGTCTCTCATCACACCACCTAACTTGGCTGTTTCAGCACAGGGCTCTGTCGCACTAGACCTTAGCCTGACGGGGACAGGAGCAAGGGCCATGCTGAGAGCTGGCTCATCGGTAGAATATGTGGACGCCACCGATGACAGCTATTGTGGTGAGGATGAGGATGTAGACAGAATAATAATGGACAGGAAGATGAAAAAGACAGCAGGAAATGGAGACGGTGGTGGCAGTAAACCTGCCATACTAAGGACTACCATGAGCTCCGAAGCCAGCAGCCTGACATATGACTCAGTGAAATACACACTAGTGGTGGACGAACACGCTCAGCTGGAGCTTGTCAGTCTCAGACAGTGTTACCAAGGCTACAGCGATGACAGTGATTCAGCCACAGTCTACGATAATTGCGTCTCCTCTCCATATGAGTCGGCTATCGGGGAGGAGTACGAGGAAGATGAAGATGAGGAACACAACCAACAGACCGGAGCAGCGCAGAGGGAAGCCACAGCTTGCCTCTCTGAAGACTCAACACCAGAGGAAGATCTGCATTTCTCCAAGAAGTTCCTTAATGTCTTCATGAATGGTCGCTCTCGCTCTTCTAGTAAGTTCCTCCTATCATTAAGCTACCTTTGTACAGCTTATACGCTGAAAGATATTAAACAATAATAATGGTCTACTTTCCTTTGTATTATGAGCATTTTTGAGACCTTTTAGAACCACCGTAGTTAATCAACTCAGTGCAGAATAAAGCAAGTAATCTCAAGGGAATGTAGGTAGAAATACACAAACTCATCAGTTTCACATCCCATTAAAGTGTGATTTATGGACTCTTAATGATCCTTCTGTGCTTAAAAGTAACCTTGTACTTTAATTAGATTTTTTAGTTGCACAATAGGCCTATTAAAAACTGGCACTGTAATCTGTAAAGCCTTATTTTTATGTCAGTTTTCCTCATGTTTCTGATTTATTTTTTGTTTTTGAAGGTGCTGAGTCCTTTGGCTTATATTCTTGTATTATAAATGGGGAAGAGAAAGATCAGACCCACAGAGCAGTATACAGGTAAAAACACACAGTTCCCAACAAAAATTGTTTTGTGATGCCTATATCTGTGCTAAAAGGATTTCTGTCTAATTCATACAATTTCACATTCATCATATTTAATGGAAGTAACTTTAAGCTCAAATGTTCCTACTGAAACAACAATCGGTTTTAAAAAGAGTTGCATGGATGAGGGATGAACTCGTCTGTATTAAATTACACATTATTTTTGCATTTGACCTCATACTTGAATTGCTGCTGTTGACATGACATTATTTACATACTGCAAAGACCGATGACACTGAATAGAAAAAGTAAGCGCATTTCCTCATTTAATTCATTAACACTAGAGATCAGTTACTATTGTACATTCATTATTATTGCAAAATATTTAATCAGAAGAATTTTTGGCACTAAACTTTAAAATACGATGTTTGCATATACCAAATTTTTGACTTTTTTTTCACTGTTTTTTCCAAGACACTAGAAACAAATATTAATCTATTTAAAATATAATTAAATGCAGTCTATCTTGTGCTTTTTAGTAATAAAACTTCACCTTTTACTGTGTCTGATGTCCTGAAGTTGCCTATTAAATAATCTGCATATTATTTCTTGTTATATTTTTTTGATTAGGTATTTTAGAGTAGTTGGACTGCAATGAATTGCAGCCCTAACCATATATCACTAAAAAAGACAGTAAAGGGTTTTTAACTGCTTTTTGTATTGCAATACTTCCCTGAGAATATTGAGATAAATGTTTTAATCCATATCACCAGTTTTTATTCATGGCACAAATTATTAACTTGGTGGGGATGACTTTAAAGCTTTACCACACTGTTAAAGCTTTATTGAGGATTGCCAAAAATATTTGTCATGAGTCAACAGTTGTGGCAAATTCAAATAAGACTTGTGTCTGTATTTTTATATGGCAAGTATGTTGTCCTTTTCTCTGCAAAAAGTACGAAGAAAAAATAGCTTCAATTTCACTCCAGTTAGCACTGAGTGCTTCCAGCTTCTACTGAAAACCTCAGGCTGTTCCAGGCAGAGGGAAGCAGGGACCAAAACAACAGCAATGCAGCCAACAGAACAAGAGCATCTTTATCTAGCAAGACATCATACGATGCAGGGGGGCATTGTCCTTGCATAGCCCACTCTGCAGTCAATGACTGTTGGGAGCAGATGTGCTTCAAAATAGCTTTTCCTTTGATATGCATGTATGAAGCCAATTTACAACCCTTTAAGCATAAAGCTTATAATAAATTTACATGTCTTTTCAATGTCCAGCTTAAGAATGTATGAGAAATAATGTAAGAGTAAATGTATTAAACATTCTACATAATTAAAAACTTAAACTGCAGGTGTAATTCCTGAAATGTAATTTAATAACCTATGGATTTGTTGTAACTAGGTCATTGTAAGTTTATCAGTTTCTTTGTCAACTTATATGCATTTGTTTTTAGACCCATGCTAGGAAAAGTAGATGCAAATTTTTCTTATCAGATTGCTCTCTTCAGGGAAACATTGCTGTACTACCCTGGAAAAATAAGTGGTCGTTAGCATTAAAGATGAAAAACATTAAAGAAACTATATTTATAATTTTATTCCTTCCTTCCCATATTATGAGGGGCATCTTTAGAAACTTTACCCAGTGTGAAAAACTGGGTAATAAACAATCATATAAAAAGAATACAGAAATACTTTTGATGCAGAAATATGTTGGTTGGACTTTCACTAAAAAATGTATTCCTAATTCCTACCTAATTTTTTGTCAGGTTTCTGTATTTGTCCAGGGAGCCGAGAGGCCTGGCACCTCCCAACAAACTGTCATTGCTTTTCTGTTACCAATTCAAATGTTGAATTTTAACAAATCTCAACAGGTTTGTGCCTCGACATGATGATGAGCTGGAGTTGGAGGTGGATGACCCGTTGCTGGTGGAGGTCCAGGGAGAGGATTACTGGTACGAGGGTTACAACATGCGAACTGGTGCGCGTGGAATCTTCCCCGCCTACTACGCCATAGAGGTGAACAAAGACACTGACTGCTACAAAGGTACTTTCACAGCTGTTACGTCCGGATCTTGAAATTATCTTGATGTTAGCGGAAAGGTGACCAACAAACTGTGCACAAAATTTGGGAGTCAAATTTTATTTCAACTTTAATGTCAACAAGAAATAGCTAAGAAAGTTATCTAACAACCTGCCACAATAAATTTACAGCTTGCTATTTTTTAGATTACTTCCTTATTAGTTTTTTCACTAATCTATTTACATATTTTCTTAATATATTTCTTTATTTATTACATTTTCTTACCTTGTGAACAACTTTGACACAGCTTACTTGATGTGATATTATATTTACTTGCCATGGCTTTATTCTTACGTTTGCTGTCAGTCATTTTGAACGAGATGCAAGCAATGCTTACTTTTACTTGTATTATCTACAAAGTTTGTGTGGTTTTCAATTTTGAAGTTAGAAAATCATTCAAAAAAGTATTTAATTTATTTGAATGACGATGATTCATGTATGCCTGCATAAAAAATATGTTCCAGCAGATTTGGTGAGAAAGCATTTAGGAAGCTCCTCTTCTTGTAGTTAATGAAATTGATTTTGTACAGAAACACTTAAGTAAAGAATGAATCCAACTAATCCTGCTTTTTGTCAGAGTTATAATGTTTTATTGGCAATCAGTAAAGTTTTCAATTGCTTTTATTTTCCTCCTGCCTTTAATTCCTGTTCATACATTTTTGCTATTTTGTTCTCTTCTCTTTGCAGTTAAGCAGTTAAGTTAACATACCGCTTGAAGTTCCTTGGCTCAGTCCAAGTGCCGTATCACAAAGGAAATGATGTTCTGTGTGCAGCCATGCAGAAGGTAGGAAGCCCCTTGCTCTCAATGGCTGTCTTTAGCTGTGAGTGTACAAATACACTAGTATCAAAAAATGGTTCTTTTATTTTTTATCAGGTATATTAACCTAAAAACTTATCTTTGATGAATTTTTAATTAATATTATTAAATAAATCATAATCATGTCCCTCAGATTGCCAATAACAGACGAATGACCGTCAAGTTCAACCCACCTTCCTTCTGTGTCCTGGAGATCAGCGTCAAAGGAATTAAGCTTGCAGTTCAAGAGGATTATTATGCTTGTGACAGAGTAAGACTCTTTCGTACTTTTTCCTTTCCATGTAAAATATAAACATATCAAACATCTCGCATATCAAATTTGGCTGATTTTTCCCACAAAAAGTAACTTCTTTCAGGGACTTTTGAAACCATCAAAAACTCTGTAGAAGTCAGCATTTTATCAAAGCATGCACAATGTCCAGAACCAAACTTTGTCATGTTATGTGGTCATACGCTGCATATGAATTAGATGTTCCCGTGATTTAAAAATATAAAATGCAAGAAAGCATGATTCTGTTATCACTGTATAATAAATTTATAGTTGGAAAAAAAAAAAAAACTTCATTGTTTTAATTGTCCCACCAGATATCCTGAACTCAAATCCATTCCAAGCAAAGTTAGAAACAAGTACATGTGGTGTAATTTTTTTTTACTTGTTATTATCTGGGGTCAGGGGTATTTTTTATCTTAATCAGAAATGTTATTCTCCTTCTTCTACCTGTGTCTTGTCAGCAGAGTAACGAGTGCAGTCACTTCTTCCAATTAAAGAATGTGTCTTTTTGTGGCTATCATCCTAAAAACAGCAAGTAAGTTTTTCCCTTTTCTTTCTGTCCATATGTGGTGATTTTAAATTGTCACTAGGTGTCACTGTATGAAAACAAATCAAGAATTTGCTATTTTGATTTGTGGGGTGTGATTCCTCATATCTGTTTGACATTGTTGTTTTTTCACCCTACAGGTATTTTGGTTTTATCACTAAGCACCCAGCAGATCAGAGATTTGCTTGCCACGTATTTGTGTCTGAAAACTCCACCAAACCTCTTGCTGAGTCAATTGGGTAAGTTGCTGCCCATCCGATAACTTTAGATTAGTTATTTAGAAACACTCATTGATGCACAGCACATGCAAAAGTATCCATATTACTTGGACCTTTTCACATTTTGTCATATTGCAACATAAAGTAGTAAATGCCCGAAGTGGAATAAATATTATAAATGATTTTCAAGTAATTTTAATAAAAATCTGAAAAGCTGTTACTTTTAGTTACATTTAATCCAATACCCAAACAAAATCAAGTGTAACCAGTAAATTTGAAAATGACTGTCTAGGACATAGAGGGACTGCATGATGGTACAAGTTGTCCCTAGGTTCAAATCCTGGCTTTGTGTCTTTCTGCATAAAGTCTACATGTTCAGGGAAACAGTTGTGATAGTTAAATCACAAAACAATGTCACAGGCTTCAAAGCTCACACAGAACGTTACTCAAGCCATAATCTGTAAATGATGGAGTACATTATCACTATGATCTTACCAATAAATGTGTCCAGCCATGCAGAAGGTAGGACTTCCCTTGCTCACCATGACTGTATTGAGTGTTCAAATACACTAGTACCAAAAAAAGGCTGTTTTTATTTTTTTTTATCTGAAAATGAAAGAGTATTGTAACAATTTTACCAAGAAATTACAAACTAACAGGCCAGGCAAAAAACAAAAAAAAAAACAGAAGTGAAGATGATGAGAGCAACAGAACAACCAAGTTACAGATTGACCTTCATGAAAGCAGGCCAAGTGGGAAGGCATTGTTCAGAGACCGTTTAATGTGTAGCAATGCTCATGGGAGGCTGCACTAGTCATATGAGACAATAACATAGCTTATTCACTTCCATGCAAAACACTGTGTAGATTGAGGCAATCTAAATTTGCCATAAATACCCCATCACAGCAGTCACTTATTTTGACCAATTTATGCTTTAAAAGGTAAAGGGAGATGGACATGGCTAAATCCTAGTGAACAACCTGAATGTCCAAAGTATGTTCAAAACTAGCAGGGTATTGCTTGCTTCAGATATTTCTAATACAAGGGAGCAAAGTACAATGGCGTAATAACCTGCCTCTGAAGAACGAGATAACATGAGGAGGTAATACTTTTATTGGATCAGTACAAACATCATAAAACCTGAACCTTGAAATCTAGAATGGCCCAGTTAAAGTCCAATTAGGACACATGAAGAATTTCAAAACTGATGTTCACAGGCAACACACACTCACAAAAGACTTAGAGGTATAACATAATTTTGTGAATTCAAAAAGTGCCCAAATTCTTTTAATACTTTTAAAGTAAAGCCTTTTATTTTTTTCATGAGGTACTACTTAATGAATTTGACCCCTTCGGCAATTCTACTGGAAGCAAAGCATCACTTCTCATGATGCTTTGGTAAAATAATGGATAATATTGTCACATTATCCATTTTCTGATTAAATATTCACCCATTTCCTTCCAATACATAATCATGCTGTATTATCTTTATTTTATGTAACCACCTATTGATATATGACACAATACCATTTCTGCAAGAAAGTAATGGTTTATCTATGGTGAATAAATGACATTAGTGTATTGTTTTAATGTGGCAAAATATTTAAAAAGTTGAAGGGTTATAAGTACTTTTGTATAGCGCCGTATTGTTTTGTGTATTGCTTTTCTGTTGTTAGTGATATTGTGAGTCTCTTGATGGATTGTTTCAAATTAAAGGCATTTCAGTGTCTTGTCACTTCAACAGATATATTAACAAAAAACAGACGAGGTGGAGGAAACAAAGTAATTTGTTGACACAACCTGTTTAACTCAGTATGAATACAATCCACATTTCTGTCACAATCTAAATATAATAGTAAAAAGAAGCAGCTCTCTTGTATGTGGATTAAAGTTGTGTCAAAGTTTATTTATATAGCATATTTACAACAGCCTCAGCAGACCAAAGTGCTTCACAATATCACAGGTAGATAAATGATAAAACATAAAACAACATTAAGTTTGATAAAAATTATAAGACAATTTTAAAACTTTATATAGAAGAAAATGACAAAAAATGTCAAAACTAATAACATGAATAAAAATCAAGCCACACCAAACAATTTTTAATTTCAGCTGTCTTTAATCTACGTGAAGATTAGAATTAGTTATAATTCAAATTGTATGCTCCAATTAAAAATTTGAGTGTGAAAATTCAAATAAAGGTAGGAAATAACACCTCTTCTTTTCTCTTGTTCAGGAAAGCATTCCAGTTGTACTACAAAGAGTTTGTGGAGTTCTCGTGTCCAACAGAAGACATTTATCTGGAGTAACCCCGCCTTTGACCACAGCCTTGTACAGTACACTGTATCATAACATAAATGTGCATGAAGAACAAATATTTAAAAGGGAATAAGAAGAACAATGACTAACATCTGTAACAAACACACAATAACTATTTAACTCCCTTAGCTGTCATAAGGACACCGGTGTCCTCATGGAACCAATGGATAACATGCAAGCATTTTCAGGGTGACGATTAAGGGGTAAACATTTGTTCAGGAGTATGGGATAGAAATGAGTCAAAGGAGAAAAAAATATGCAAAGGTGAGAGTCAAAAGGTGGAGTCCATAAATGCAAAGCACAAGTGATGCACTTCTGCAGCAGTGGGTACAATACTTAGTCGGTAGCAGCATCTCAGCAGCTCCATCATGAGATCACTAGATTACTTTACATTTCAAATGCAAATAAGGCAAACAATAGTATCTTACTTCCAAAAATAACTTCATCAAGTTTCTTTGTCTTTAAAAAATGAGGGAGCTTTACAGCTACAACAATAAGAAAATGAACACCGGTCAGAGTGTGCAGTAACTCAAATAAAAGAACAGTGCAGATTATTATTATTGTTTTTTTTTTATTAGGAAGCCTTGTATAAGATTATATCCACAAGCCACCGTAAAATAAGGTTTTGAAAACTAGCTAAAAGATTCCATCTAAATTGTAGGTCATATTGATGTTTGGCAGAAATTAACTTGGTTCACATTTTATCAAACACACAAGAACAGGTCGGATGTAAGTTAATCTGCTGGAAAATGTCTGAAATTATGGTTCGGAATGAAATGAGCAGGCAAGTAGATCCCTATTTGTTTTTCTGGAATCATTCCGGTTGCTGATAACCTGATTAAATGGGCTAGGATGCTAAAGGTGTACAGGTTTCAGGCTCAATGTCTGTATACATCTTTTGAGTGCAGAGAAGACAAAATATACCAGCTGACCTGCATTCAAAACAAAGAAAATGGTCTTACAGATTCTGTTGTCACACTTTGTAGTCTGCAGTGTAATCACCATCTTCTATAGATGTAGCTGAACTTAAAAAAAATATTCCAATGATCTAAATAAATTTTAAAAAACCAATAACACTGTGCAATTACTGTGTAGGGTAAAGAACATCTTTTGTTGACACTGCAGGACAAAGCAAAGCAGCTGTGGTTTAATGTTCCATAAAGGTTGAGTTAATGTTTCACTTTTTGCATTTCCTGAATATCAGACATACCTTGTTAAATGTGACCCAATCTGTTCCTTGAGGTGCCAGCAAAGAAACAAATTCTAAGCTCTGTTTGTCTTCTTATCTTCACTAGTAGTGCCTCTTTTATATTAATTAATTTTAAACTTTCTCAATAAACATATTTTGCCACCGAGTGTGTTTAGTTTACGGGTTTTGGTTGAGGATTAAGAAGTCGGAGTGTTTCACTGTAACTGGCTCTTTATGCCACCGTATTGCATTTGCTGTACAACATCCTGGCTCTTGAAGTTAAGCCTGATAAAATAACTCATTTGACAAAACAATTTTTTCACCTATTGGGTAAATCAAACAAGGTTACTTGAGAGGATTAAAACATTCTGACATCTGTTTGAACACAAGCAGGTCTGAATGTAAAATATAGTGTAAAAGATTTGTTGTCTAAATCTGCTATGTGAGAGTAAATATGTCTCAGGTGGGCTGGACAACAAGTAAAAAGGTGCTAAAATTATATAAAACTTACAATAAATGTATGCAGCCAAATTTTTTTTTTTTTTTTACTCGTGCTTGTTAACATTTAGTTTTTATTATATTGTATTTTACAGATTATATAAAATGCCAGTAAATTCTATTGTCATATCCAAAGTTTCCAAAATGCCCCAACTGTGTTTTGATTTGGATGGGTATTGTTGAAAATAACAACTGTTTATTAATCACAAGAGAAAAATATGTTAAAGGCACAAAATGTTTTTTGAAAGGGGGTGGGGCTACCTGGTTCTGCTCAAAATTACCCAAATCATATTCCTTGTTGTCACGTAAGAATAATTAACTGAATTTAAAACATAAAAGCACGTAGTGGCAACTTGTGCAAGAACGAAACAAAGCTAACCGTCTTGACACCAAAATAAGGTGTTCGTTTCACCTTGTCAGGTGTTAAAAGTAAAGGCAAATTAAAATCTTACCAATGCCAGTTTGAACACACATGAATTGCTGGAAGACACAACCTAAATGCCAGCTTCTCTGGAAATAGGAAACTGCTGCATAAGCTGTAGAACAAGGTGAACAGCATTAGGTACCTTCTAATTATCCTGAAGAGAAGTAATAGAAAAGACATTGCTGCCTTAGAGGACTGGTTGGTCTGACATATTCATCCTACAACAGAAACTACCAAGGTGTAATGTTGCAGTACAACAGGTTTAATGTTGCAGGGTACAACATTACACCTGGCTGCAGGTGTAATGTTACAGGGACACCAAACAAAGGATAATATTTTAAATGAATAGAAGTGAAGGTAATACCAGTCAGTTATCTAAAGGCATTTGACATGTTTTTACCATAGCTTCACAAAAAGATGCAAAATGTTATGGAAAGTGAAGAGCCTTGGCTGTCATACAAAAATACCTAAAATATTGAGTTTTTGAACCATAATTTTTTTTATTTTTTTGTCACCTATTATGCGACACAAGTAATCTTTTTGGAGGTGTATATTAAAATATACATAGGGCCTTGGTGATCATTACAGAAAACCAGTGGATTACTATTTTTATCTTATGGTGTCTTGCTATTAGCATACTACTGTTAGAGCAAAGTGACATAATGACATTCATTTTTTTTCTACATCTTGTCTAACTTCTAATTAGATCATTTTACAGATGGGTATTGTATGTTTCACAAAAGAAAAAGGTATGTAAGCTAAAGATAAATACTTGAAGATTACTGGACTTTTCTATTCAGCTCAACGGTTACATTTCTGTCACTTTCAACATAAAAGTCTAGCTGACATTCTTTTTCCAAACTTATTTTTCAAGAGCCAGTCAAGGTAACAGAGAATTTACTGCAGTGAAAATGATACAAAAAGATGTAAAAAAATAAAATAAAATGCCATATATAAATAGTAATGTAATATTTGTAATTATGAAGAATATATTGTACTGTTTCAGTGTGTTGTAAGTGAAATTTCTCTTGTTTTGGATCTTTTACAGCTGTGAACTATTCTTGATTTAAAACTGTTAAAGCAGATTTGTGTCCTGTCGTATTATGCAGCCATTATTCAGCCACATATCAACACATTTAGTCCGATGTAACTCGACAAACAGTCTGGCAGGACAGAAAATATGTTGACACAGACATGCAACCTGTATCGGATCTTTTCGCTACAGACCTAACAACACAGATCCCGTTTTTGCTTTGATATGTGGTCCTAAATCCGATTCATATCTGATTGTTTCAAATGTGATCAGAACTTACAGCCAGGTGGCATTCATCAAACCTTTACTCGACAAACATCAGTATTTTGCATGCTGTTATGCAGAAGCAGGAAGAAAATCAAGCACCATGGTGGATGAAATGCACATTAAATTGTTAATGTGTTGGCTTCTGTCCACCATTACTATCCATGTTTACTTCAGCGAACACTTCAGAAACCCTTCAGAATGCTTGTGACATTAGTTCATCCTCTATTGCGCATGCAGGACACATAGATTATTTGCAGTTCACACAGGAGATCACATACAAGTCGCATATGTTTGGAAATGTGAACTACAACTTGTGTATTAATCAATGTGAGCTGAGGGGTTATGCAAAAAACTAAAAAAATCTTGATTTCACAAAAAAATCGGAATTGATCAATATGCACACAGATTGATCATTCTGTCTTGATATATAGATTGATGTCATCCATGTGGATGAAGTGACCGAGGGTGTTTCTATAAAGAAATCAAGATCTATAACCACTCTTTCACCAATGCAGTCTTCCACATTCTCATTAAGTTCTAAAAACACCAAGTTCCATGTGTGGGGCATCAAAACATAGTTTTATTCTGTATCACCTCCATTGAAGTGCAACATTAACATACAGAGGCGGTTTGTGTACCTCAATGATACTGAACAGAGATGGGTAGAGAATCCAGTAAGAGTAGAGATGCGTCGACATATTTCTACTCAAGTAAAAGTAAGTACGTAAAACTTATGGGTTAGGCAACCAGCTAACTGCAGCTACAAAAGCAGCATCAAGATGAGGTGGGAATTAAAATGAAAAACGAGAAGAGAATCCTAAAATTGTATTCAAGTAAGATTAGTAATATTTTATGACATTATTTAAGTAGAAGTAAAAAGTACAGCATAGTAAAAAAAAAAAAACAACTCAAAAGTATTTTCTTTTTTTATCATTTTATTTATTTATTTTCAAAAAAAGTTACATAAATGTAATTGAGTAAATAAAACTAGTTGCTTTCCAACTGTGATCCTGGGATTTGGCTCTTGGTAGGGTCTCCCATGCCAACATGTGCTCGAGGGTGGAGTTACTTAAAATTTGCTTAGCCATCCTAAAGAAATGACAGACCGCAGGAAGCAGAGAGCCTCCCCTGGATTAGGGAGACGTGCAGCAACCTCCAGGAGCTCAGGAGGTGAGTTTGAAATCGTTACTTGAGCCTTGAGTTCAAGAGAAGAGATTTGTTTTCTCAAGCCCGGTGATGACTTTATAATCCTGTTGTTTTCAGCTGCAGACACAAAGGGGCAAATACCTCTAAGGTGTGCTTGTTCATGGTAAGGCTAAGTCCACTGTCTTCCCAGAACTCCCTACTGCATCTTTGAACTACAAAACCATTCACATGATTTAAAAGAAGATCCATTGTAACTACTTTGGTAATTTGATTCCTCTAAATTTATCTACAGATTATCTACTGAATAATCTACAAAGAATTGTTGGTAAACCTGATTGATTTATGGTAATTTAGCATCATTTAATATAATAATATAAATAATCTGTCATGGACCTAGTTCTTTTTCATTAATATTAAGGAATTATTTGCTTAAAACAAGATTTTATTTTTTAGAAACGACAAAAATACTTGGTAAGATTGTGTGCTTTTGCAGTGTAGAGATGTAATGTTTGAGGAGTAAGCCTCATTCAATTTCTGTTTCAATGTCGGTTTACAAAAAACAACTGCTTTCCAAACAATGAGTTCATTTCTACAAATTCTGGGAAGTAACTAAATAAAGTAAATTATGTTGTCTCAAATGTGAGCAATAACAGACTTCACCGACAATAGAAAGAAATTTTGTTCGAAATATGCATGACACAATAAGTTTAATTCTTATTGTATGTTTTACTCCAACTGGTCTTCATCCTGTGAGTCAGGCCAAAAGAGAGTTTCAAAGTCAGGTAGAACAGGTGTGATGGGCTTTTCACCGTAATCTGTCGGAACAATCAGATACAATTTAGCCAGCTTTGCTCTTTTGTCACTCTTTTTCTTATATAGTAAAGTATTATTATAGTATTAAAATTAGAAAATTTAAAAAAGCACACACGACATAACATTAAAATGTCACCTCCTACCATCTGTGAGGCTGATTTGCTTTTTCAGAATATCAGGGTCAAAGAGCAGCTCGAGCTCCTGTGTGCTTCTGTCAGACTTGCTACAGAGAAGAGCATGGGGTTTAGAATATTACAAAAATACAATCCGTTAAGTCTACAGTTGTACTTACTTTTAAGATAAAATATACTATTAGGACTGTTACCACAAGACTATTGGCTTAAATTCTAAGCAGAATGATCAGGTATCACACAGTTGACAATGGGAAAATGGGTCCATGTTAATACATTGCAGATATCTGAACATGACCCAAACAAAGCAAACTGCTAGAATCCAACGTTTCTTGTAAGACAACATCTTTCAAAGAAGAAGTAAACCAACCTGTTTAACGCAGGTGCAGACACACCCCAATTTATGAACAGGAGATAGATGAGCCAGAAAGCCAACATGACTTTTGTGGACTTGATTGACCACATTTTTTAAAAAAAAACTAAGTGAAAAACAAATTCTGAACAAACCAATGGTTCCCAGGACGACAAAAGGGTTCTGGAAGGAAATGTTATTCTTAATTCTTCTTCCTTTTCAGGATAGTTTTAAACAGCTTAGCAAATAGTTTAAAAAGTAATAAAATTTGTGAAAAACTATTTTTCACAAAACATAACGGCTTGACATTTGAGTAGATTACAGTATGTTCATGATCTCAAAGTCAGAATACTGATACTGTAGGATTATGACCTACTACTTTCAGTCAAACATTTCATATACAAGTGTTTATATTCACCTTTACAGACAGACAGACAGACAGACAGATAGATAGATAGATAGATAGATAGATAGTTTTCTTTAAACTAGTCATATATTAAAATTCAGTTGATTTGATGTGTCGTGTTTTTGTACATAATTTTGAAATATTACTCCTTCATTTCTGAAGTTTGATTCGAACTTTTTAAATAAATACTTTTGCAAATTCCTGAAAATCAGAAACCAGTTGAGGAAGAAGAAACAAAAACCGTCTGAATTTGATCCCACTTTAACTTGTTTGATGAGTTTATAAACCAGAAGAAGTTAAAAACGAAAGTGTTTTCGGGTTGGTGGGGGAAGGGACGGAGGTGGAGTGGCGCACCCAAAGCGTTTGTTTGCATCAGAGCGAAATGAGTGAGAATGAGGAAGAGACAAGCTGAGCAGAGGGACCCGCTACTAACGTGTTCCGTCTTGTCAAGGTGAAACAAATCATGTTTTAAAGGTGGTTTCTAACAGTTGCGTGGACTCTTTTGCAAACAGTCGCTGGCAGGTGAGTCAATGTCTCTTCTAAACATTCAATTCGGTTCATTTAAAATAATAATTTTTTAAAAAAGAGTAAAACCTCATAATGTCATGAAACAAAACAATTGCGTTTAGCTCAATCAGGCTCGAAGAAGAGTAATTTCCTTGAGTAGATCTTTCCTGTGTGCCCTTCTAAAAACCATATTGTTTTTTTTTCTTCCACGAGAGAGAATAGTCTGAACACCTCTGCGTGTTTTCTCTTATCAGTTCACAGAGGGGGTAACTACTGCATTTTAAATCCCTTTATTAATCAACACTTTGTTGACTAATAAAGTAAAGAGATCTACTTTACTCATTGTAATATGATTATTAGGAATTGTGATTTTGAGTCTCTTAGAGTATTATTTTTCACTTCATTTTGTCTACATAGGTCACGAAGCTGAAGTTAGTTTCCAATTCCAGAAAAGGCTAAAGGGCAATTTCACATAATCTCTCAGTACCTTACGCATTTTTAATCGACTCCAGTTTAAAAACTACAACAGCTGGACTCTTCAAAACCTGGACTGGATTATTCTCCTCTAACAGCAGAATATTTAGAACCATGTTTGTGATTTGTGAAACTTCAATAAAGGTTGATTTTACCACTGTTTTGCATATGGATTATACTAGAACTGCTCCAATTCCAAAACTTCAATACTTAGATGTAACATAGTTAATGTTGTATGGAATTCCACCTGTCATTACTTCCAAGTTTGGGTTCGGGTGTAATGGGTGAAAAGGCACCCCCTCCTGGTGGTTGGCAACGTTAAATATAGTGAACACAGATATCTCGTTGCCAGTTCATGAGAGATGGGTGTGAGGTTGGTTCACTGGGAACATTGTGACGGTCCTGTGAAATGTTCTGTTAGCTTGTTGCTAACACAAAATACTATTCCTCGTAAGGTGCTGTACTGCCTGTGATGAACCTGGTCCCTGATTATTTTATATTTTGTTCCATACAGATAAACTACATTTTGTCTCATCCCGTCTCCTGGTCTCGTATTCACACAACGCAGAGCTGATGAAAAGCCAGCATAATTAAAAAAGGTTACATAGACAATTCAATCGTGGACTGGATTATTCTGCTATAACAGCAGAATATTTTAATCCATGTTCAGGATTTGTGAAACTTAAATAGAGGGCAATTTCAGACCCTTTTTAGCATCTGAATCACAGTAGAACGTCTCTAATTCCAAAACTGCAACACCAAGACTCTTCAAACCTAGACTAGATTATTTTCAACTAAAAGCAGATTATTTAAAACCATGTTTGGAATTTGTGAAACTTTCCTCTGATTTGTGAAACTTAAATATTTCTGCTATTAGAGCAGAATAATTCAGGCCAGATTTGAAGAGTCTTTAATCAACTTTTTAAACTAAAGTTGATTAAAGATGCGGAAGATACTGAAAAATTAAGTAGAATCATCCTTTAGCCATTTCCCGAATCGAAAGCTGGAATTGGAAACCAACTTCAGCTTTGTAGAGATGTAGCCCTATGGTTTAGTTAACCCTTGTATTATGTTGAGAAATAATTATATGTATGATGTTGTGGGTCATTTTGACCCGTATTGTGTAATTCATCTCAAAACAATCAAAAATGAAGTCAAACTAGTCAGAAGTTTATTTTAGATTATATACACACTTATGAGAGATAAGAAGAACAGATACACAACTTGAACATTCTTGAGGGTTGGAGATGTCTCACACATTTCTGTGTTAAGAATGGGGCACTAGCCATTCGAAGAAGCTGGCGGGCATTTGTCCAAAAATTATAAACAAAAATGTAATAAAAGTTATGACCTGCCCTTCAAATTATGCTTTTTTTTAAATTCACATTTGAACACCCTTTGAGTGACCATTTCCAACAACATCTTTAATTCATGTTAAGTTGGACCGACTTTCATAAGTTTATGAAATGTAGATTCACCTTGTGAATAATATAATCCACAGAGTGGATTCATAATTGTTAGTATGTGTTTAAGCAAGACAGAAAAAGATTTTAGATTCATGAAACTGAAAAGGAAATAAAACTTTTAAGTGGTGTTTATTTTGTGTTAGAATTTTGGAAGCTGGTGTATAGTTAGGTCATCAAATAATGTCTTATATTATTATAATGTTGTACTTTTTTTAATTAAAGTAAGTAATAAATTAAAACTGTAGCAGTTAAAAAATGTTTTCTCTGTCAAAGATGGGTATGTTAAACTTGTTCATTTGCTTTATTGTAGTATGTCCAATCACAGAGGAAGCATTGCTGGAACCTTTATCTGCTTGATAGTACTGGCATCAGGCTTCATTTTTATGTATACCAGGTGTGTACCAAAAGTTAAAATCTTTTTGAGATTTTAGCACCAAAGGTGATTTTATTTTTTTTTTGTTCAATGATGTTTTTCAATTAACTGCTTTTCTTTTTTATACTAATTATTCCTTTTGTAGTGATTTAAGAGCCATTATCTTTTTCAAAAAACTGCATGTGCCAACGGAATCAACACCAACAGCCATAATTGATTTGGATGGCAAACTTAACTTCAGGTAAGAGAACTTTAAGAAGAGTATTTCTTTTGCAAAACACTTTTATTAATCTGCTGTTCTCTGAGAAAAAGAATCATAAGCTGGGTCATGGGGCAACCTCTTTATGGTACGTCAGATTTAGATGATATTCAGCTTGGACATTCAGATTTGCAGCTGTTCATTTTAAAATAGCTTTAGCTAAATCAGGTTGGATGGAACGCATTTAAGAACGGTCATTTTTCAATTGTCGTTGCCGCGACACCCCTCTCCCCCCTTTCCTTCACTCTCTACTCTCTCAGTTACTTCCTCTTCTGAGAGGGGAGATGTGCTACCAGCTCTCCATCTAAAGGGTAAATTGAGTTTCCTAAATCTGCTGGGATTTACCCAATCCAGAACTGAAGTAAACTCTGTTTAAGCTGGTTTCGAGAAAGGATTCACCTGATTTCTACAACCTACATCCAGATGTCTCACCCTTCTTCCCCCTGTGAATTAGCCAGACTGAGCAGCCTACCGCCAACTAGTTTCACAGAGCACATCTGTTAATGGTTGCTCCTTTTTTACAACTTGCACTTGTTACTGAACCAGGTTAGTTTTAGTGACTCGGGCGAGTCCCAAGGATGTTGTTTTAAATTTGGGCTAAAGCAACCTATAAAATATGACCTAGTTTTCTTCCCCAGAATCAAACATCACAGCTATTTTACTACCATCAAAGAACTTTGAGGTGACTCATTAACTGAATGTCCACAACATCTTTTAGATTTTCTTTATGCTAAATATTTTATTAGTAAAGCAATTTTGCAAAGGTCAGTACAGCTTAATTAAGTAGCAGAAATAATCAAATAAGTAAAATCAATCATCTAGCCTATCTTTCCCTAATGCTGATACTAAGAACTAAAAAAGGAACCTTTGAGAGAGACGGACGAAGTTTGGTGTTTCGAACCCCAGAACTGGCTTGATGATGAAGAAGGTGTTGCAGCAGGAGGAGGAGGTGGATTGATGAAGGCAGGGATCTCTGTTGGTCTGATGAGCTGTCATCTCTGCATCGATGATGAGGTCACACAGGACTTGGGTCTTCATCTTTGCCTTGATCTTCATCTTTTCCTTGGTCTTCATCTTTGTCTTTGGGGTCTGAACCCAGCCGATGAGAGAAGTGCGATTTGTAGCCACATGTTGCAGAGCTGATGGATTGGTCCCCGTGCGCAGGACAGTCTTCGGCTCTGTGGCCCCCGCTCTTCTTCAGCTGCAGAGTTCTTTGTCCATCTCGGTCTTGACTCGAAGCTGCCTGGAGGATCCAACCAAAGATTCCTCTTTTGCTCTCCCCTTATATAAGGTTTATACCTGCTTTCAGTGCATTTTCATTGGCTAACACTGTTGCTGTGCTTGCTTTATTGGGTAACTTGTTTGGACAGATGGACTCATGTCATCTGTTCATCATCAGGTTCTTAGAGGACTTGTCCTGATGTCTTGGCTAATGTCTCAGGGTTGCTCAACGTTCCTTCCATGTTCTTTCTCTGACACGTTTAAGTTGTTCAACAATCTATGTCCTAATAAGGCATTGGTTATCTCTGCTTTCCCATTAGTCCCCATTTTACCCTTAACCTTTCACCTACTATCTACCTCCAACACATCATCAGTGATCTTTAATAGCAGTTACATGTTTTACACCATTTCAAGTTCAATGTCAAAATCACATTCATAACCCTTTTAGTTTCTTTGATTTAGCATTAATTTATAATTTTATGATAACCACAACTTATTACTCTTTTATTATTATTTGATACCAAAGTTACAGTTACTTGTTTTACTTGTAAGTGTAAGTATGTAAGTATTGTTATAAGTAAACCAATATTAATATAAGTACTTTACTTTAAATCTTATCTAATTACTCAAAATGTTTAGATTTTATCCTTTAAAACTTTTATGCTTTTAAACAAGGACTGGTCTCAGCTATTTTTATACAGCTGCCAGCTGGAAACTTACTTCCTGTTTTTCCAGAAAACCTGCTCTTCCTGTCTCATCTCTCTCTCTGACTACGATTTCTTATGATTAGATAGAAAAAATAAGTATAATTAAAGCTAAGTTTACAGGAGACAAAAACAACACACACAACTAGATTTTTTTTATTGCAGTCTGGGTCTACTGTTGGATCTAGATGTCACTTGTGTGACTAATTTTAAAGGTAACTAAACTAGATTTAAGTGAGTATGTTGACAGTCAACACATAATTGTCACGCCCAGGCACTGATGGACACAGGGACTGAACAGTGAATACCAAACCAGACGTTTATTGGGAGATTGCTTATTCTTGGTCAGACAGGCCAGGGTCAGAACCGGGAATCCAAATCGGGATCAGGAAGTCTCAGGGTCAGACAGACAGGGGGTCGAAGCCAGGAGGTCCTTATCCAGCGGGGAGAGTCAGGGATTGGGGACAGGAGAGGAATCTAGGCAGAGACAGACAGGTTAGATACTGTGCAGTTAGCTCCAGTTACTACAGCAGGCCTGAAGGTGTTACCGCTGAGGGTTTCACAACAATCTGACGCCGTGCAGGAGAAGTTCCGTCCTAATATGGCAGCAGCTGAGGATCAGGCGGATGCCGATCAGGTGCGAGTGGTCACAGCTCAGCGGCAGCTGTGACAATAATGGTTAGAACCAAACACTATACGTCACACTGAACACACCAGGCTGGTTTAAGGTTACAGGCGGTAATGAGTAATGTTAAAAAACACATTTACTGACTAAAACAGATTAACCTCTTAGTACACCAGCAAAAAAAAAGACTTCTGCTACACCTTTCTGCAGTTTATGTGCTTGTTAGTGATGTGAACCAGGTGAACTCAATCTCCTAGCAGTCGGAGAGTGCAGGAACTTTTGGAGTGACTGACTTGTCATTCCTGTTTGAAAAGTGCCACAGCACGAGAAGCAAGCATTGCTGGTAGTACATGAAAATTAAGAATTGTGCAAAGTTTTTCTACAAACTGTCCTTTGGTAAGCCTCACAATGTGGATGCTCTTTTCTTGAATCTCATAGGAGCAGCACCTGGACTCTGATTGATTGTTGTATCTAATAGTTTTAATCTTATTGAAGTAAGTTTTAAAAAAACACAGTGTTTATTGCTTATGGTAGAACGTGTAAGTGAAAATGAATAAATGTTGAACAGAATTTTGACTATAAAAATATATTTCACAAAATGTCTATAAATATGCTAATTTCTTTATAGGTGTTGAATTTTACTATAAAATATTTGCTATTTATTATACTTTTGGAATAATTGGCTTAAAGGGGTGGAAATCTGTTTCATTATTTCACAATGTATTTACTTTGTTAATTTCAAAATGTGATAGATATGTTTCTGTTTCTTAAGTTTTTGGTGACCATCATACAAAAATAAAGATGGATCAGCTAAACTGAAAGCTGTTGAGTGAACTCCAGTTAAGTTTCAAAGTAGAGACTGTCCCTTTCAAGTGGGGAATCGCACAGTAAACCAAACCTGACAAAACATGACAGGCATAATATTTTTGTCTTCAGCATAATGCTAAAAAAAAAAAAAAAGATAAATATTGGGGGATTGTGTATAATACAACTGCTCTTTGGACTGCTTTCTCTGTAGTGGGTTCTTTTATTTTCTTGATTTTGTGTTTTTACCAATGTTGGCAAGAAAACATCATAGGCTTCCACACAACAATTACTAATGCTGAAAATAAACTCAGGATGTCATTATATTCTAACAAAATAAACTTGCAAGGTAATTATTGTACTCATTTTATGCAAGTGAGACCAGAACAAAGGGGTCCATACGCTGCATTATATACAAATGTCCATATATGTTATCAGATAAATGATGTTCTGAATATTCAACCATAATATAAACTATAAAAACAGTATCAGGAAAAAAAAGTACAAAAACATTCCAGACTCCTGGTAATCAGTTGGTGCTCCAGGTTCTTTGTACAGCACATCTCAGAAACAAGGCAGTTCAAAGTGATTTTCATTTTTTTAAGTCACTACATTTTTAGGAAATATACAATATCGGTTTTGAACAGTCAGATAGATAAAGAATGGGAAGTTTCTAAAAGTGTAAGATACTTTTAGAAACTTCAGGAAATAGCTTTAACTTTAGAAAACTCTTGTTTTAATCTGCACAGTATTAAAGTTTCAGCTCTCTGTCTAATCTTGCAGTGAATGACACTTGAGTTGTCAGATTGTTACTAATCAATTTTGTACCTGACTGACTGAATTCTTGAACTAGAGAGAGGAACCTGCAAAATGTGTTTTAACGTTTATTGCTTAATGTTGTAATGCAGTGTTAGACTTGAAGAAAATACCACAAGTACCTCTTTTTGCTCCGGGTGGACTTAAACTTACTTCTTGTTTAGTGGTAATTTGTGTGACGATTAGCTGTCTGAAGTTGACATTTTGAAGCCGACCGTTTTACAAATTGAATTTAGTTTGTTAAACTCATCCCTGGGTTGAATTTTACAGAACTCGGTGGAATATTTGACTGTAGTTCGTTTCTTGTGTCACGTTATTCTTTGTTCCTCTAGTTTAATTATGTTTCTTATATCTTCTCATTCTTTAATGTAAAATTTTTTTTGTCATTTTTTAGTTAGACTTATTTGCACTTTGCATACTCTCCCCTCTCACCTGCATCAGTTAGCCAATCAGCCCAAGTTGATTATTGCACATTCACTCTCCCAGTACTTATTTGCAACTCTTCTGCTTCTCTCATTCTTTGCTGGCTCCTCCAGTTATCTCCTTGTTTTCCTGTTGAAAAACAAGAACTGCTGTTATTTTACCCAGAGTTTCTGTTTTGTTCAGCTCTGGGTCCCTGTTGTTCCTGTGTTTATTTTGTTGTGGTTGTTTTTTGTAAGGCTTTGATATTAAGCATTCATAATTAACTTTCTGCTTCTGGTGGTCCTGTTTTTGGGTCCTACTTCAATCGACACATCCTGTCAGTTTCTTTTTTGTTGTTGTTTTCACAAAGAAAAATCTGAAAACAGTATTCAACTTGACTAAATATTTTAAATATACATTGTTGTTCCAAATAATCAAGTTAAGTTTATCCAAGTAAATGTATTAAGATTTGTGATAATGATGAGTTGTTCTGTTTTTTTTGTTTGTTTGTTTCTTGTTTTTCTTATTTCAGGGCTAGACCACATGTTCAGACTCAGACTTCCTGGAACGCACCTGTTATGTGGGAACTGATGTTTGATAATAATCTTTATGACAGAAAGCACAAAGAAGCCAAAACATCTGTGGCCCTCACAGTTTTTGCTGTTGGAAGGTTTGTTCCTTTATGCATTTTTAAAACATGAAATGCTGTGTGATACTATTTTCTGTGTGATACTTTATTAAAACCCAAAGGTATTAATAACGTTTCTGTCTGTCTTCTATTCAGTTCCTTCCAAAATATTTATAGTTGCTCGTTAGAAGGCATTGTGCATTGAAATTGGGGTAGAATTTTTGTTTCAGGAATAGAAAAAGGTAAAAAATAAAATAGCATTTGATAAAATTAGGTAAACAAAACCAAGTTAGTAGATTTATTTTTCAAATGCAAGGAATAAAACATTTATGTACACCTTATTATTTCTTGTTTTGTGTGTGTGTGTATATATTCCTTTCAGTGGACAGACCTGTCCACTGAAAGGAATATATTATCATTTGCAACTCTTCTTTTTCAACTTTGTTCCGGGTTCTTGGGTCACATATTTCATAAACAAATCTCTTTATTTTCATATAAGCATTCACTCCAATGGAGAGACTGTCTTCATTGTCTGTATTAGTTTGCAAACCAAATCGACTAAACAATATTTATATTGAAAAAGAGTTTTACAGTTGTGTAATCTCTGCTGTAGTGGATTTGACTCAAAAGTCTTTTTTATCAGAAAATTGCACTTTTAGCCACTGTCAAATTTGAAGGGTAGCAGAAAAGCGCACTAATTTATTAATGCTGAACACTTATGTTTTTTGTTGTTTTTTTTTACTTTAGTCTATAATGAAATATCCATTTAAAATTTTAAAGATGATGCATTCATTTGTGTATGTGAACATTTAAGATGCAACAGAAGGCAACTGATCTCCGTTTTTGTCAGTAAAACATTTAACTATTACAGTTAATGCCATAGAAAAAGAGCATATATATTTTCTATCTATGATTAGAGAATTGACCAACAGTAACTATTCACCTTTCTATATCTCTGATGAAGGTATCTGGATGCCTATCTCGAAAGATTCCTGACGTCAGCAGAAGAACATTTCATGCTGGGATTACCTGTGACATACTTCGTATTTACGGATTTACCAGAGAAGGTGTCCAGAATTACCCTTGCTCCTCAACGAAACATCAAGATTGTCCAGGTAGAAAAGCACAGCAGGTGGCAAGACATCTCTATGATGCGAATGAAGACAATATCAGAAGTAATCAGCACAGTTATCCAGCACAACTTCACTCATGTCTTCTGCTTTGATGTGGATCAGATATTTGAAGGCAGATTTGGCTCTGAGGCTCTTGGGGAGTCAGTAGCTCTGCTGCATGCTCACTATTATAAACTCCCCAAGAGCAGGTTCACATATGATAGAAATCCAAAATCCAAAGCTTGCATGACTGAAGGAGATTACTACTACCATGCTGCAATTTTTGGAGGAACATGTGAAAGAGTAAAGGCCTTGGCAGATTACTGTTATGTCAGCATCATGGAAGACAAACTGCAAAATGTAGAGGCTTTGTGGCACGATGAGAGTCACTTGAACAAGTACTTTTGGCTCAACAAACCCACCAAGTTGCTCTCTCCTGAGTACTGCTGGGATAATAGTATTGCCAATGCAGAAGACATACTCATCAAACGCCTAGTATGGGCCCCAAAAGATTATGAGAGGCTTCGTACTCGGTAACATGCACAAAATATAAAAAGAAAAAAAGTGTGATGCAATATTGTAAAGAAAATGTTTGCAAAGCTTGATTTTGGGTTATGTAAAGAATCTGCAACTTCAAAGCTTCAACTCTCATGGCAAGCTGGTAAAACTTCTTTGGAAACTTAAGGTTTTAGGTGAAGGTCCCTGATATTCTAAAGAAAACCTTTTTTCTTGTTATTCTTGTAAGGGTCAGGTGAAAGCAATCCTTTGTTTACATTTATTTACATTGATAAATTTAAGTTTATTTAGTAATAAAACAGAGTTTATTACTACTTCATTCTAAATGAAGAACAAATGTTCCAAATAAATGTTTTATGAGCAAGTTTGACTGAAGACATGATTTTTTTTATTTTTTATTTTATATATACACTGGCCCCACCTACAGGATTTTAGCAAAATGTTATGTAGTAATTAAACTTTAATAGATACTTTGATTTGTTTTAGGTGAAGAGAATTTACATTTATAAGCAACAAATTCCTAGTGTAAAAAAGAGTTTAAAAACTGGTGATTGATCTATTTTGAGGTCAATCAAAATAAATCAATCTCCTTCTGAGTGCACGTGCAGAAAACTCTTTTTCGGAGTTACCACATGATGGCGCTAAAGTGTTTGAAGTCCTTTTTTTATTTGACTATTCATGTCGTGAACAAAAATAGGATGTTTTACTACCTGTTACCTTTGAGCAGCCAAGCATGTATTGCCGTTGACCCCCGTTTCATTCAATTGGACGTGAGGTCTGCAGGCCTGGATCCATTTCTTGCATTATTCCAGACTCTGGGTCACAGATGGTGTGCAGTTTGAAACCTCCACATTTGAGAAGCTATTTACACATACAGTATCTGTTGAGCTACGCATTTATTCATTGTGTTATACCTGTGTGTGTCAATTATGTTGTGCGTCTGCAAATCTTCTTGTACGCATACAAATCTTATTTCATCTTTTTCAGGGAGGCCAAAAAAGCCCTATATCAAAGAAATAAAATCAACCTTCCAAGTGCACTTTTCTCAATTTCCACATGATGGCAGCAGAGTATTTAAAACAAGCCCTCAAATTTCACCAAGTTATTCATACCACACATGTCAAGAGCTATAAAAACATATTGTTTCTTAATTAATGTAACTGAAGAATGAAAGGTATCTCAACAATCATACTTTAATATGTCATATCAGATACACTGTGCAGAATGACACATAGCCAACTTCCACACTAACTTAATATTTCCTTTTTTTCCGCCATTAACTCCTTCTATCTGGTAGCTGCCATATTCATGAGAACATTTTGTTTTTGAGGATTGTTTGTCACTTCAGAAGTTTATTTACCTTAACATTACTATCACGGCAAATCCAGAACATTAGTAAAGGCCATATGAACTTTTGATAGGTTCACAATGTTTTAGTTAAATGGAGGCAAACATGTGGATGTACTTTCGGGCATCTCATCAAACACACGGTTTATTGTTTGACATCATGGAAACAAAGATAATAAATTTGATTAAATATTATTAAAGGAATTGAGTAGATCTGTCAGTTTGATTCATCCTTTAGTACAATTTCCAGATGCCATGTTAAATTGTCCAAACCAGAATAAGCAAGTATAAACAAAATCACAACAGTCAAGAGGAGATGGGTTCTGGATGCTATGGATACATGTGTTTTGGTGAGAAGTTCACTTATCAACCACATGACAAAGTCAAAAGGCCATGTGGAGCTGTTGACTGAATTTAGTGAGAAGTGTCATCTATAGTGAAATGAGTCAGATTCCAACATGGATTGAGAAATCATTCAAAGAAGAAAAAGACATTATTTCAACAGGATCAGAGTCAATTACCTTAACTTTTGGAAATAAGTGTTTGATCCTTATGACCATGGTTACATGGTCATCATGTTTCCTTCTATTTGAAGGGAAAAAATGGAGAGCTTGCAAACCTGTGAAGTGCAAAGGTGAAAAGGTGGAGTGTCTGTTTTACTGCAACAGGAACTGTACACTGAACAAGTTAGATAGAACAATACGAAGGAAATTATGTGGAAATATTGTAGCAACATCTGAATACAGCCTGGGAGTTAAAATTGTCTTTCTGGAAAATAGATGATCTCTTGCAGATGGAAACAGACAGTCCTCCAGGATTCCCCAATATTTTGCTGCATTCATTTTACCTTCTACCTATTCAAGCTTAAAACTCCTAAACCCTCAGCTTCTGAAAATACGATGGAAAATGGGCACACCGGCCTTCCGCTGCAGGTTAAGGGGTTTTAAACTTACCAATATTTTTCAATAGAATTTTATCTGATTTATTTAAAGTATCTTTTGCCTTCATGCTGTAATGACAGCCAGGAACACTGATAAATTAGTGAATGAACCTTCCAGACACAGGTGACTTTACACTACAATGACTTGAGATTTGAGACACTGCTGCACTCATTCAACTCATTGTGAGACTAGTACCAATTAGTTAGACATCTAATCCAATTGAATTAAGCCAATCATTTTAAAAGTGGTGAATATTAATGACTTTTTAAGGTTTTATGTTTTTATTTAATTATTGTTTTGTAGAAATCAGTTTTCATTTCCATGTAAAGGAGCAATTTGTTTGTCAGACAAGCCAAATGTTGAGTATGATTGATTTGTAAAAGCAATAAAAAAGATAAAACATCCAAGGGCTGAATATAATTTATTAAAATAATTAAACAGCTTTTAATATGCACTACATCATGTCTTTCACTTGGACCACCAAGTGACTGAAAGATGCATAAAATAGAGGCTAAAGGATTTTTTTTTTAAAGGGATCTACATTGTTCCATTAATGCAGACATCTGCCTAGGAATCCAGTTCAGCTCTGACTAGTCATTACCAAAACTCTCCCATCCAGCTCTCTTCCTGTTAATTCAGCTTATTTGAACAGGTAAGTATTGCAGGTAAGACACTGAAAAATTAAAAGTTCCATAGAACCGCACTTCAGAAATCTGAACAATAAAAGAAAAATAGTCAGAGCTGCTGTAATGAGAATAACTGGTAATCTCTTTAGCAAAACTTCCAGGTTGGGATTTGGTGACATCATTTGCTGTTTTATAAGAAGTGACATGTGGTGAAACCCAGCTGTAAAAATATTGAGTTTAAATGGAATTATGCAGTCACTAGTACATAAACACAGAATGGTGGACATAATGTCAGAGGTGTATTTACAGCTGCACATGTCCCTCATGGTTTGGCACCCTTTTTTTGTGTTGGTCCGCCATGTCTGAGTGCCTGTGCTCCTTTAAGATGCTGCCACGACACAGTGAAGTTTTGTATCTTCTTCTTGTCAAAAAAAAAAAACGATAAGAAATTGGTGAGATAAAATGCTCTGCCACTTAGAGTTTTGTATTTTTCTGGAGCTGATGCAAAACAAGTTTTCATTCTCAATTGAGTTTTCTTGAGTGAAACTGATGAAAAAAGGTTAACATCAACCTGTATTCTTTCAAAAGCTTAAACTCACCTGTCAAAAGTAATGCATCATACAAAAAATACTTGAGCTTTCAAAACCACCATGTTAGTGCAAGATATTGCAAGAAAATTTTCAGAATCTTTACAAAGATTTTCTTTTCCCCCTCCCACCAAAATATGTTTTTTCCCTCTTAAATTCTTATTATAGAAGAAATGCATCTTGAGTTAATTTTTTTTTCTCAAATGTTTAGCTGGTTCAGCCCCAACAACTCTAATACCGAGCTTTGAGTTTCAAAATAGCTTCCACGGGGCTCTAAACATAATAGCTCCCTCCACCTTTATGTGCCCTTGTGGGGATATCTGTCAAAGCTGTAACATCATACTCCAACGTTGCTCTACAATTCTCCACAGGTCACATTCCTTCTCGATGGTGGAGGGCACATAAAGGGATAAAAAAGGAGAGACAGCGAATGAAAAAAGTTAACTCGAAAATAAAGAACTGGTGGACGAAAGGCAGAGAAAATCCTGGAAGAAAAAGAGAGAAACAAAGAAAAAAACAGAACTGTGAAAGCAAACTTCATCCCTGACTCAGAGCTGCTTCTGGCATGGTTTATCCATCTCATCATACACATTCCTGTCTGACACGCTCACAAAGACCCATTGTGCTGAAGTGTATCTAACTCACATCTTCGCTGCTACCTTACATATGAGCTCCAATCATGTACACACAAAGAGACCCACACATGTTTGGCCTTGGGCCAGCTTTATTGTGCAGAGATATGAGCTGACAGGTTTAATACCACCTGCAAATGATTCCTTACTGTATGCAAAAGAGGTGTGGACTTCAAACAATAAGGTAACAAGGAATGAGCAGGAGGAGGTGAAATATACTGGTGCTCTCATGTTGTGTGACCTGGGGTTGATAAGGTCACAAGCTGTGTGTGTGTGTGCTCGGGTGTGTGTGTGTGTGTGAAGCCCCTTTTAAAACCTTCTGAATCCAAGACATCAACCCCATTGATTGGAGCACTTTTTGATGTATTTTTAATTTTAACAGTAAAATATTTTCAGTCATACTCCATTTCTAAGATTGGACATTTTGTGTTGCAAAGTTTTAGAAAAGAATGTGTTGCACACTAATATAGCCTTGTAAAAACCTTGAGCTGAAGTTCAAAACTAACATAAGTAGAAGCAGTGTCATCAACTTATTTTCTTCTAATTACATTTAAACTTAAACATAGCATCTGTTTTGCTCGCAGTCATTGAAAAAGGAACCTGTGGATTTTTTGTGGGAGCTCTGCACATGTAGCGTTGAGCATCCCTGGGGCAGAGGTGCGATGTACTAAATGGGGAAAAAGGAAAAGAAAATTCCCAAATTCTCCCAGTGAATGGCACAGAGTAATTAATCTCCAACAGGGGTTTGCCCTCCTCTCTGACATGGCTGACACACTTTCAGTGTGTGTGTGTGTGTGTGCGACTAGGGGGTGTTTAATTGCCTCTCCCCAAGGCTTGCTCCATCATGCTCACTTCTTCTTTTGATGTTCCCCCATTCTATTTCCTTTCATCTCCTCTTCTTTTTTTCTCTCTGCCACCTGCTGTTTTACTTTTGGTCATTTTTGCAGTAAAAAGTTTAAAATAACATGCAAAGTGAGTCTAAGCTCAAGGTAAGATGACATCTATATCTAGGACTCAATCAGATGCTCAAAGTCCTTGATGGCTTGTTTTATTTAATTATGTTTATTTATAGGATGAGATATAAATTCGTAGCCGATTGAACTAATTATTCTTGTGCGAAATAATTAGTTCAATTATTAATTGAATTAATTCAATTCAATAATTGAATTAGTTCAATTATTAATTGATTAAGGTTGTTGGAGCCTATCAGTACAAGTGTGCAAAAAGCATGGTGCACCCAAAAAAAACTGCCAATGTCCCAAAGTTCAAAAACATAAAGGTATACCAACAGTTTATTCAGAATTACTGGTCAATTTCACATGTTTAAGGACTGCATGAAGCAGTGCACCTGTATACAAAAACATTAATACACAAAATAATAGAGTAATAAGAGAAACATATCAGGGAGACATTTAAATAAAAACACTTACAACAAACTAAATGTTGCAGAAGTAGTTAACTTGTTACTGAAGCTCTCCTGTCATCACTTTAAGGTAAGAGATAACGCTCCACAGAGTTGCTCCTGAAAAACAAACTGCTTTGTCACTAATTGGCATTGAATTGACCTCCAGTGACAACATGAAGAACCTTGGCGTTGTCCTCGACGTCACATGTTAATATTCTCATAATAATCTGGTTTACATAACATTCTTTTTTAGCTGCACAATTGGCCAAAATAAGAAATATTAAATCTCAGTGGCATAACAATAGCTACCTGTGTCATTTTGTTCAGAAAAAACCACTAAAAGACCCACTGCTAATTAGCTGTATTAGCCATTACTTGTAATAATAAATACATAAGCTAATGCTAGTAGCTTGTATCAGATTGTGATAAATTGGAGTTTCAGATGCAGAAAGTTCCCTTCAATGATGTTGTAATAAACACATGCAAAGACCACATTCTTTGCATGTGGTTCATGCAAATAAAACTCCACTTCTGCTATGAATGAAATTTCACAGCTAAACTGGACACACCCCAGAGAACATTTTTTGTATATTTGTATTAACTGCAGATGAGGTTTTTTCCACAACTTGAAAAGTAGCAGATTTTAAGATATGAACTCTAACTTATATGACTGAATTCATCATTTGCAGTGCTGGAATGATTTATTTCTATAATTATGCATCCTTAAATAAAAAAATAAGCGAGTGAACAACTGCGCTGGCTGATGAGCTGTAACTAAAAACGAGGCTATTTGTGAGCTATACTAAATATGAATTGGTGCTACAGAAAAGCTTTCCACATTAATGTCGACCACGTTTATGTAAAGCTCTGTACGGTATTTATAGAGGCAGCTGGGCTTCAGAGGCCTGCAGTCGGAAAGTCCTCCAACCACAAGCCATAACACGTGTAGCCAGATGCAAGGCTGTTCATATAAATACATCTGCTTAATCACAATATATTTTTAGGTATGCAATTTAGTATGAAAGGATCCTCTGAATTTCCATTTTGTGAATTTTTATAAAAGGGAGATGTAAAAACTGGGAACATTTGTACTTGTTGTATATTATGTAGTTTTTGGTCAGTAATATTTACAAGTTACAGAACATCATGTAAACAAACAGAAAATACATGTAATTAAACGGATTAAACGGATTACAACCACGATAATCCAGTTCTCCTAACCAATACAAAACTAGGAGAAAATTTAAACAGAGAAATAATTCAAAAAGGTTGTAATGATTGAAGATCACATTAAAAGGTCCAAACCTCAGCTACAACTATTAATTTTCTACAATTCTTTTAAATCTACATTGTGATTCTTTCTTTATTCCTTTTTGGTTACTCCACAAGTTTACGCCTGTGAAAGTTGTACCTCTTTTGATATATGCTATTTAGTTTTTTAAATATGCTTTTTCTGGGAAACTTATAATTTAGGTTTTTTTTTTAATATCCAACAATTTCTGAATCTATTTAGAAAAGAGGAAATTATTTGTCTTGTACATCACCAGTGCAGTGTAAAGTTCTACCGACTCATAGAAATGTAAAGCTGCAACTTTGAAACATGAATATATTTTATACCCTGAAACATTAATATGTATTTTATTATTTTTTCTTTTGTACCACATAAATAGGTTTACAATTGGTTTATATATATATATATATATATATATATATATATATATATATATATATATATATATATTTATTTATTTATTTATTTATTTATTTATTTATCTATCACTACATATTTCCATACATTGATGTCATGTATTAGACTACTGAGGAACAATAAAGCATATATATGTCATACTCTTTGAGACTTTGGTATTGTGGTTTGCTGTATTTTTAGATTTTTCTCTCTTGGCTTTCTGTATTCAGTTTATTCCTTGTTTTGAAGACACCCTGTGCTTTTGGGTCTGTGGTTTAGTATTTTGGTTTTTCCATCATTTATTTCCTTGATTCCTCCTGTGTGTCCTGGTAATGTCATGGGCCGTAGGATGTTGGATTTCTTTGTAGGCCTATATTTCTGTTTCTGTGAGTGCGCAGTGAGATTTGTCAGAGATAGTTTTCTGTATTCTCTGATTTACTCGTGTTCCCTCTGTGTCTCATCTCACTGCA